CTTGCTTCGACCATTCGGCTAAGAGATAACTTTGAGAACTTCAGTCATGAATTGCCAATATCCGATTAGAGAGTAACGGTTTGTTTCCAAAACTGTGGACATCTGTTCTTCAAAGCCATATCCAGGACAAACGTTGTTTATTTTGGAAGTGTTTCAAACCAGCATAGATATTCCAATCTCCGTTCTTGATTATATTTGCTCGAAAACACACTGGCTGAAGTAACTTGACAGGGATTGATATGTTCTAGTTTTCAACTGAAGCAACATACTGAAGAAAGCAACCTAATAATTACCAAAATTCATTGTATCCACCAACCTCCGGCTTCTCCCACTCGATTTATTGGAGTGCAGAGCGTTGGCTTCCTCGGAAAGTGCCTAAGGGTTTATCGAAACGCTATCATACGTTGTAAATTAGCCGTTAGGCAGCAAACCGCTCATCTTCCGCCCTGTCTTTATTGATCTTCAATAGGTGCAACTTGGTAAAATCTGCCACGTTCTGCGACTTTACTCTTATTCAAATACAAGTGATTTCACTCGACTGCTCGACAAGTCCAAGATCCGCATTTAGTAAAGAACGGGCACTGGCATGACAGTTCACTGCAAGGTGTGTGTGCATTCCTCATATAAAGGAATCGGTACTTATACATCTTTCTAGAAAAGCAACTCATGAAAACGTTTTTTTTTTAATTTTTCCATGTCACCGATGTCACTAATAGGAAGGTACTCGTGGTGATCAATTTTTTTGTTTATCTAGAAATGTTCACCTGTGCCTTCATCTGGTAAATGTTCTACAAGCGTGTGCTAAATCAGAATGCAAGAATACCATGTGTTTTCTCTCCACTGGACTCAGTCCCTGTTAGAGAAGTGGTTGCGTCAAAGACAGATAAATAGCGTGAAACCGCTGAGTACAGTGCATATCTCTATGGTGTTCCGCGGAAAAAGAAACGTTAGTAGATAAGAGATTATCTTGATAAGCTGGTGATGAAAGCCCAAAAAGCATGGCTCGTGCGTGCTGATAGTTTAGACCATTTCACCATTCGTCTCGGCTTGAAGGTTTTTGAGAGATCGAGTTTCCTTGGAAGGTTCTAATCTGAACGCTATTCCTGTAAGGAATTCTGGCACAATTCATTAGAACATGAATGTTGATCTCTGCTAGAAGACTATCTTCATATCAGAGAGCATGTGGGGAGAACTATGTACTGCCTGTAGCATTAGACGCTTAGAAACGAAACTTATTTTGAGTGCAGATGAAGTTCTGTCGTCTACGGTATTGATGAACGAGCGACTGGCCAGCAGTTGTTTGACACAGATGAAGATATAAGTTGCTCCAGTCGGACCAGTTTGGGGGCAGCCAAGTTACCTGAAAAATATACGAACTCGCAATATCGCTGTTAAGCGAGCAGTAGCCAACAGATTGCTCCTTGCAACCGAACCCTCCCTGACGCAGAGGACATTCCCCTGTTTTGTCAACACGGCAAGACAGAAATCCTGTAAGTCGACGGATAAGGAATCTGTTTTGGCTGTATTTCGGCCAAACTGCTCTTGTAATGGTTCTTGTGTTTCGTCCTTGTTGAAGACAACACAGTCAGCCATTCTGTGAAACCTAAACAAAATTGCTTCCTTGATCTCATCAAAGCTTGTGAACGGTTTCAACTTGTGTCAACATTAGTAATCAACCAAGTGTTTAAAACTGGTCATTGCCCTCTCGATCGTTGGTGGGACGTTTCCAAACTAATCGCAAATACGAGCAAACAGATTAACAGAGACTTGGTCAACTCCCAGTAAAAACACACTAGAATTTCATAAACGAGAGATCCAGTTGAGTCTCTCGTGAAAACAAATTGATTTGCAAATGAGTGTATTTCTTAAAAAAAAAGTCCAATTTGGGTTCAAGTAGAACATAAGGTTGACGGAAACTCGGGGATTGCGTCTACCTGATGAGCCCCAAGATGGGCAAAACCGGTCGTGGGCTGTCGGGGAGTCTCCAGCAACCTTTTGAGTAGTTCCCTTCATAAAAATACACACCATGTTATTTTACACATATTTTGATACGAAAGACTCAAAAAGTCCATACAAAACTATTACTCATTGGAGAGAGAGAAAGCACGATGGAAATTCCGTTGAATATGGCCAAATCTCCCCACATCACGACGAATCGATATGCATCTCCGAGAGAAAATAATTTCACTGGATGTGCTAAACCAACACCTGAGAAGTCATAAATCAGGGAACCCGACAAATAGCACGTAACCACGTCATGTGGTTTCCGTTATAGGAGGATGAGTGGCGCTGTGTCCTGAATAATAGTTGACCACACTGCTGAGAACCCATAGATGAATAAACGGCCGAGTGTTCATTCACCGGCCGGAAGGTTGCGGGCTCGAAACTCCTCGAGTTTCGTGAGGTTCCCACCGTATATTATGCTCAGTAAGGATGAAATAAGTGTGCAGTGCTTCTCAACTTCCAAGCATAGATTGGCCCCACGGGATGAAAGTTCTGTCGAATATTAGCAATCACTCTTTTGTCAAAAGTCAGAATATGGAAGCCAAAATGTTTGCACTACTCTTGACAGGTCGTTTTCTGTGAACAAAGTGGGACTTCCAAGTGCATGCGGCTCGCTTACTGCTCGTGAGGGGGGTAGCCATCATGGAAAAGGTTCCCAACCACGGAATGTGTTTCTGCTGTGTCCTTGCAGTTCCTTTCGTCTCTTTCTCACCTTGGTATTGTGGGGTCTAAAACTTGCATAAGATGGACCGACGATAGTAAAAAAAACTTGGCAATCGAAGAATGACCTTGGAGCGGAATACTGACTCACCATCATAGGTACTGTTGGCACGTTCCCTGTTCATTTCGCCCGATGTCAGGACAAATAATGCATATAATATATATGAATGTGGAGACGGTCTGTGGTTCATGTATGCGCATGTATACGATTGGCTGATGTTCGTTTCCATGAGCCGAATCATACGAATCACCTGCGTCGTAGGCTATGGCTTTCATGTTTTGCGTTGAAAGATCATCATATTGCCTAATCTTTTTGAGGTCTTATGTGACCATGCAGTGTCTCTCTTTGGGTGATTTTTTCTCTCGTCACGCTTTTCGAAGAATCCACTCTTGAGAAATATGCCTTTTAGCGATGTCACTTTGTATAATTTCCCGGTACATGGGTCGTATTTAAGTGTGCGCACTGAATGACCACCACATGTTTGCTTAGCTCTTTGGGTATTTTTTCTCTCGTCACGCTTTTCGAAGAATCCACTCTTGAGAAATATGCCTTTTAGCGATGTCACTTTGTATAATTTCCCGGTACATGGGTCGTATTTAAGTGTGCGCACTGAATGACCACCACATGTTTGCTTAGGAAACACACAAACAAGCAGACACAGCACAGTCGCCGATTGTCTTCTGTCTTCCATTAATCACACAATCATTCTGCGTGACTACTCACAAGGTTGCTGAAAATTCTTTGGCAGCCCACGACCGGTGTTGCCCTTCTTGAGGCTCATCTGGTAGGCGCGACGAACACACTCGCGTGCACACCAGTTTGGTTTTGACGAGAGAATCACCTCAGTCCTAGGTGTATTTCTCGTCTCTGCTGTTTTTCCGAGATTTAGGGAGATTCAGGTGGGTCTCCTGTAAAAAACGAATTTGTGTGCGAATGAATGTATGTGTCGAATAGCTGAACCTCCTCCATTGTTCTTCCACTTACTATAATGGCACGGAACTTACACAGAGTGCATACACGCATATGTAGCTGCGCAGCATCCTCGCTGTCCACACTCAGTCCTATTAATTTCATCAAGTTGACCTCGCACTCTTTTTCATTTCTGTGACGACAGTCACTTTGAATTGTTCACGCATTTCATCTAAATGGAAGCCCCCCATACATCTACCGGTCAGAGGTGCTGCCCCTCTCCGTAGATAAAGCAAAGATGCAGAATTTTAGGTTCAATATACAGTACCAGCAGTCAGAACCGGTCTCGCTCGATTGTTGTGTGAGCAGCTCAGCTTCGGCATACCGATTGATTTGGTACAGGCGGCTGAACAAATTGGACCGCTCTCCACATCTGAGTAACATTTACATTTTTCAGTCGGACTGCAATTGATTAGCAGATCTCCATAGTTCGACGCTTGGTTTGCAACATTCACACAGCTGCCTGAATTTCCGCACACAGATTTTTGACAGTTCAACAATTCAACTAGACGAATGCCGTCATCGTGTCCTACTTTCTCTCATCATCGGTGATACTAAAAACCATCGGTTTGTGCGCATACAAGTGGGTTTCACGCTTCTAAAGTGTCAGTCTTCAGGGCAGTCGATGAAAATCGATTTCAGGTTTTTGGTATTATTATCGATCGTATCTAACCTTTTTAGAAGAGACACAGAAAAAGGACAGACAACACTCTGTCCGAGCATTTCACTCTTTTTCATGGGTGAAGAGTTCAATCCAGTCCAGGTGAATCACACCACCGTTCGGAGGCAAATTTAAAAGGGCGGATGAATGAGGATTAAACTAGAGGTGCAGAAGCGGCGTAAGGAAAATGCATTTGCTAGGAAGACACGTGTTTAGTGGCCGAAGGTGTTTGAAGGACTCACATTGTTTTGGTGAGTTCCACACACATTAACCCACCTTGCTGTCCGAAGTCATTCTGACTTACAAGTAAACATTGATAAATTGAAGCATGTTTATTTGTAATGCACTACTCATAAGGTTGCTGAAAATTTGTCGACAGCCCACGACCGATTACGCCCTTCTTGGGACTCATCAGGTAGGCGCAGTGCCCGAGTTCCTGTCAACCTTATGTTCTACTTGAAACCGAAATTAGCGAAATACTGTCATTTGCACAATAAATTTGGTTTTTCGAGAGACTCACCTGGAACCCAGCTGAATCTCTCGTTTGTGATGTTTCCAGGCAACTGAACGTGCTGCACCAAGCTGCTTCATCTTTCACTCGCTACGATATTCGAGATATCGCGATACATGTATATTTGTAATTCATTACTCAGCTGAGTTCCAGGTGAGACTCTCGAAAAACCAAATTACTTTGCAAATGAGTGTATTTCGCTTATAACTTGAAGCAATTTGTAGGTTCTTGGAATCCGTTTTTGGGTCGCAAAAACCATCGTTCAGGTTTCCGCAATTGGGCAACTTGTCCGGTGAGCTTTGTATAACCTGTAGAAGCCATTAAAGTTATCTATTAGCTTCAACATTGCGCTTATTGTAAAGAATCTTTACTGGTGCGAGTATCCAGGTTAGTTCACTTCAAGTGGAAAAAACAGTGAAGTCACATATCCTCAACCACACAGGGTTACCTGACTTATGAGTCTTCGCTCACACAGGAACAACATTTCCCTTGCGTACGTGATCAGCCAACTGCGCTTTGCGTGCGCCAATCAAATAGAGACTGATATGTTTGCCTCGGATGCCAAACCATCCAGTTGTTACTCCAATACAATAATTTACAGCAAGTGCAGAACTTGTGTTTGCTGGTTTCCCAACCAGAACAGTCAAGTGCAAACAGTAGCAGGAATTTGGTTTGCCTATAGCAGTAACAGTTTCGGAAACTACCTACAACGGATTTGTTGATGGTTGCAGTACCTGAATGCAATGTTGGACAAAGTAAACAAAAACGACCGTATCAGAGTGGTTTGGTAAACAATCGGTGGATTTATTGCTGTTCAACTTTTCGCTTTTGACACAAAAGCTTCGTCAGGCCAAGTGAGTAAGTAAGTAGGTTGATTGGGTTTTAAGGCAGTCGGGAAACCAGTCCGTGAGATTCCTTCGTGATCAGTGCTGGATGTTCAGTCTGATGTTCCTGTTTGCTGGTTACTGGAGATGACTAAGATTTACGATAGATTGGTTAGGGGGATTCGTCTTTATGATGAACCCGGATTTTTCGTATTTGCTTCTTCTGTCTAGGACACCTTAATGGAAAATTCCTCTTGGGGTCGTTCACAGATTTCGTTCCCCTGTGTTCGTCCAAGGGTGCTGGGACAACGGTTTGGGGATGGGGGTAGGATGGTTAATTTGATCTAACTCTACTTGGATTTTGTACTTTGAGACCCAGGCGATTTCGCTGATGACGGCACACCACCTAGAGTCATCTCGGCTGATCTAGGGCCGCTCTCCAATTAATTGAAAAACGACCGTAATTTGAATGAGACCTTTCCAGAGGAGTTTCCCATCAATTAATACTTGGTATAACGCCTTTCGCAAAGAGACCAGCCCAGTGGAAGACTGGGTTCCCTCTTTTTGAGTGGTGTGTTCATCCGTCGTTCAATTCATTGTTGACTAAATGAAAAGTTTCGTGACGGGAAGCACTCGAATCCCTCACGATGGATATCATTCAAAAGCAGACTGACTTTTTTTAACGTTTTACTTCGAAATCAAAATATATCGTTAATGAATGAGTGGACACATCTTTCCGTGATCGTACTGAATAAGTAGAGCATTCCCATACGGAAGATGCATAGAAAATGGAACCTGAAAGAAACCGATGGAGTGTAACTTCGGGAAAGCAGTTCACTTGGTGAAAGATGTTGGCCTAATTTTCAGTCAAAAACGTCTATTGATTGGATCACTTTAGTTTTTCTGTAATTCACTTGTCTTCTTTGTAGGGTGCATGTGACAGTGAGGTGGATTCAACTTACCCGGATAACTGTTAGTGAGACAGAGAGACAGAGCGACAAATGCGAGCGCTTTTCCGATCGATATTTTCTAATCCGACCTAGCTTCATTCAGAATGAGCACTACTTACTACAAAAATCAATGCCAGATGCGGAATTATTCGAGCGGCCCGGGACCACCTGTTTTATGGGTATTTCAAGGTATACCCTTCAATATTGGTGTCAATTTACTGGGATTATTGGTAAGTCAAACAATTTTCCAGTTTATTTCACTCGTCTCTAAAACCAAGGTGTGCGTTTTGGTCTATGTGATAACGACCGCAATCACCAGAGCGATGAGCAGACGAGGCAAGTGAGTGACCGTATGACTAATCTTCTTTTCTCTGTTCCATTTCACAACGTATATTCTACACTTGAGGGGAAATTCCACCTATTTTGCATGTTGATCACTGCTAAAACCAATGGATATGAAAGTTATACAGCCAAGATGGCGATAAAATATACAAGCTGTAATTTGAACTTGAATTCCGTCCACCCAAATCGACGTCCCTTCCTCACCTGGTCAGCTTTTCGCTGGAAAAGCAGTGAAAGCATTGTCCGACATATATACATATATATATATATAGCTCCGAATGATGGTGATTTCAATGAGCCTTCGCGTCTGTTCCACAGTGACTCCCAAAAATAGCTCGTACAGCTTTCGCGAAGCAAAGTGTTGAGTTGGGGCAGTCGGAGAAGTAGTTAATATATATATATATGCATATATATACACAGTACATATACACATCATATACTTAATCTGAGTAGCTGAGACTGTATGCCAGACATTCAAGAAAACAGCAGTCTCTTCAGTATGATTTGTCCAAGGGAAACTAACTCCCAACTAGAATCACCTAAGTACTGTCTGGCGACATTCGCTTTAGATTTAAAACTTTTTAAAGATCACAGATAAGGGTGTCATCTTCTCAAACTCTACACGCCATAGCCTGATTCTTCTTTGAACTTCTAAGTATGCGTGCCATCATGAACTTACCAGTGCACCGTGGCAAGCTGGGGTGAATGAAAAACCGTATCTTAATTGACTGCATTCGCTTTACAGATGTCTACTTCATTAGTTCCCGCTCTTATTTTTCTAGAGCAATATTTTCCATTCACCGAGTTCCCGAGAAGGGCCGACCAACTCCGACCGTATGGCAAAGTCTTCGTATGCCGTGAGTCTAGTACCATTCCAAGGAACAGAGTGTTTCACATAACCATTTTACCAATAAAATGAAAGTAGATGAACTTGAATAGGATCGGCGTAGTAGCCCCTCAAGGGGAGGTGAACAAATTCGGGTTTACTTGCTCTTCTTAATGTACCAAAACCCTTGGTGATAATCCAACTTTTGCGAATTTTTCCAGCCAACTTTTGTTGTTTTGATACTTTTATAAAAACAGCCTAACCAACAGGGCGGTTTGGAAATGGATTCCATCATGGTCTACTTTTCTGGTACAGTTATTTTGTCCAGGTCAGTGCAGTCCCACGGGAGTGATGTAGATGCAAAGGCATACTTGTTCTTCTTTTCGATCGCTCCACTATGATCGGTCATTATGGCACTGCGTTTTTTCTTTCGACCTCAAACAGTTACACCGAGCTGGCCAGAAACGCCGGGCTTGACGGTGTGGCATACCTGCGATCGACAGTCTATTCCGCATTGCAGCTTGTCACAATGACTCCTTTTCTGTTCGTTGCTGTTCCCATTTATTACCGTGGGGGAAAAGCGGGTAAGATTTCACTCGGTTTGCTTAACTAGCTAGCCTTAGTCCAATCAAATCGATCCAGTCTATTCATGCAAGTCATTGATGACTGACTTCTCCGTTATGATGTAAAGTACCACTTTTCCCCATTTCAAAAGTCGTCCCAACTTTCAATGGTCACGTCTCCGTCCCCAAGTCCAAATATTTCCTGAATCGGGATGTTTGTTGTACAAAGATCAGTGATTTTTCGCTTCTCTCCGTTTTTTATCAACTGGGACATTCACGCATTCCACACCGTTTTGCTTTTCTGAAAATGGACCAAAGAAAACACCGTTGTGCTTAATAAGAAACTGTCGAATGCAGTTGAGGCCATTCTCAACGTGACGCAAAGATGAACAAATTTCCAGCTGTTCCTGACCAATACGAGACGGCTTTTGGCATACCTTAGATTCTCCAGAAATTGTGCCATCACCCAGACGCAAGAACGGCACCACTAGCGGTAGTCTGTTAGCTTTGCCGTGTTTTCCCGGTATTCAGATGTTTTTGAAACGCGAAGCCACGTAGCATAAACAAAGAGGAGATCTGTCCAATCTGAGGAAGGACTGGATCCGCTGATCTACCGCTTACGCGTTTAATAACACGAAGGTCAGCAATCCTGATCCGCTCCTAGGAATGTATTTTCGATATTGCCACATGTATCCGGACTCCTCAGTCCAACAGTTATCAACCAGTGAATCACTATCTAATGGATATGCTGGTATTCAGTACTGGTAACGACGAACATGGTGACGAGTCAGTAGACCTAAAGTGATGTTCCAGACATTTGCCCGCCCACAAGAGCGCCGACAAAACACTAATAGATAAAATCTTCAGATTTTTCATATAGTATTTAAAGTAGACCTAAGTGATGTTCCAGACATTTGCCCGCCCACAAGAGCGCCGACAAAACACTAATAGATAAAATCTTCAGATTTTTCATATAGTATTTAAACAGACTCTGAAAGATGACTTCTTGGTGATGTTTTGTCACGTTTTGTCTGAAGTAAACAACTGAACTGTGGCTTCTGTGTACGCATAACCAGTCTGTACCGTCAACAGCCTGACCGATAGCGGCAACTGAATTATTCAAGCAACCGAATTCACAGAAAGTATACTCTTTTCGTCAACTTTGTTAGTGATTTGCGAAACGCTTCATCAACAAACAAAATGACGTATTCGCGAACCGGTACAGTGCGGTGTGTTCAGTTGGCGGGAGAGCTACGCCAGGTCAGACGTCAGGTCACATTTCAAATGGTCACATTGTGAAACTCATCAGTTGGCGACATCAAACACATGATCTTTTGAGTAGTCATTTCAACCTGTCGCGCCTAGACACGCTCGCAACCGATCACCATGATCAGTCTGATGATTTTGTTTAGGTGTATCGCATTTTAGACTAACTTTGCGATCAGTGATCATAGTGTATTTCACAGGCCGAGACCCAAAAACGTGCCGATCAATCGTGAGATATTCTGACCACTTGTCACGCAGCTGACCTAAGAACAGCAACCAGAAACCTACCTTTCAAGGTCAACCTTAAATCGTTAGCTTTCATTTAGGCTATGGATGAAAAGTCATCTAGTGTGCCGGAAAGACCTTGACACCACCTGACAACCTGCTCAGGAAATGTGAACCAGACCTAATTGACCGATGATAATTTTGACTTCTTTACAGTGTTTCACTCCTATTTATTCCTACTCATGATATTGCCGCTGAAGACAGAAAACACAGAGCCCACAGTCTTTTGATCCACAGGGATTCAAATTTCACCAGCTGACAAGAGAACTAGTCAGAACCTCAAACGGAAACCCTTTAGAGAATTTCAAACGGACAGTGGTCTACGTCTCGCTACATCGGAAATTACCAAAGGCATTTTCAAGTCTGGTGTCTTTTTTACGACATCACAGAGAGTTCTATCGATTTCTGGCATTTGGTAGTTCGATTATCGTGTCCCTGAAAAGCGGACACTGGCACTCGTGGGAGAACCAGATAATTCATAGTTAGAAATCATTAGATTCGCCTAGTTCTCTACAATATATGGAACTCGTAAGCGAGCGCCCAATCTTCGAACGTATTTGTCAGTCTGTCTTTGATTTAGGACCGATGACCACAGAGAGAAAGGCGTACCATTTCTCCGCTTTCTGGTAAAAGTAATACGCTAAGCAGTGATCTGTGCACTTTTTATTGCGCTACTGATCTATTCCATTTTTTTCAACTTTGTTGTCCCACTATCACAACTTGTACATCTAGATACCGACTTCGCCCGGCTAACGATTTCAAACCTGGGTATGCAAGACAGGTGAGTCCAAATAGAACATTCTCTCCAAAAGAAACATCTAAGTGATTGATTCATTGGCTAGACTTTACTACTAATATTTTGCAAGTTATTGATCACTTGCTCAAGCAGTCAACCAGATGACATTTTTCTGATCTAGGTCCATTCTTGGCCAGTCGCCACGACATGTTGTGGCGTAGTACCAGGGAAACAGGCAGAAAAAACGATACATAAGCAGAAACTCAAATAGTTCTAAAGCCAGGTAGAGATTACATCCGTTCACATAGCTTGGTGCAGTTAGTTTAGACCAAAAACAAAATGTCACTCTTCAGGCTGACTGCGAGTAGTGTTCATCATCGGTGCACATGCGGTATCCTTTATGCTCTGGATAAACAAACTTTTGAGAACTGAAGAAAAGATTCCTGGACAAGGGCTGACTGACAGGAGATAAGCTGCATGCTCTCTGCATTGAGCATAAAGAGAGGTTCATTGTATGCGGTTGCTCCAAGTACACAGTGGGATTTCTCGCCCTCGCATGAGCTAACCAGCTCAGTTCTTGAATACGGTTTCAATTCGACGATTGAGCGGTACTGTCCAGCGAATGTCATGCCCTGCTTTATAGGAGGGTGACAAGCTGAGCCGCTCTCAGAGGATTTGCACGGCAATAAAATGTATTCATCAGACTTTTTTATGCTCTGGGAAATCGAACAAGTTAACTGCTGTAAACCGAAGTGCAATGTCGTGCACAAATCCACTGGCCTGAGAACTCGGCCAATGAAGGCCATATATATGTAAGATCAGTGTGTCCATCTGATATTTGCTTCTGTTAGCTGAGGAATCGGCTGTCATGTTTGGAATGTGGACACGTATCCAAGGCCAAACCTTCTCGTGGATCTTGTGTTTTCGTCTCCAGTATGTCAAATTGTCGTCAGAGAACGATCATATTATTTGAACTACCTGACCGATTTCAACAAAAATGTAACCCATGAACCAAATGGCCTAACTGAAGTCGCATAAGAACCCATATAAAACAGATACAGAAAGTTTCGCCTTTACTGATTATACCCATCTGATACGCAATCGTTTGTATGGCAAATGAATGGATGACCAATGTTCACCTGAGAGTTATAGATCACTTCTATTTAGACTTTGGTCTTTCAAAAAGTCCAACGTGTGCAGTAAAACTTCTTATGTTATACCGGACATCGTCAGATGCAAGCAAATGGAAAATATTTTTGAAAAATAAAACCAACATGGTTTCGGATATCGGGGCCAATACTCGACCGAGCAGCAGCGGAGCCTAGCTGGACGGCAGTCTGATTAATTTAGTTGCTTGGTGTTGTTGAGAGACCTGGGAGTTTTTAACGATTTTGACCCGTCTGCCGAAAGCCGAGACAAATTGTGCTGCTGGTGTTTCGTCCGTACTGGAATTCATCAGCAGTGCGCACCTCACGAAACTCCAGAGGGATTTGAACTCAAAGCAAGAGTTTGCAAGAAAAAAACGTTAGGTCCCAAGCCCCCCCCCCCAGAACGTCAGTGTCGCAGCGTATTTGCGGAGTCCGCTAGATTGATTTCAAGAGCAGCAGGCGAGCGGAATTTGGCAAAGGCAACAGACAAAGCTCTCCATTCTGATTAGGCCTAAATGAGTGGACTCGGCACGACTAGTCTCGTTTACTCTGAGTAGTTCTCCTCGTGCGGCCACCAGCTACCTTTGCTCAAAAGTTGAGTAAGAATAAAAGAGTACCTCTAAGCTTAGTTATAACCTTTGTGTTTAAACTTCACTGAGGAATTCTGGTCAAACAAAAACCTCTTTTCTACACTGCAGCGATGGTGCTTGGGTATTGCTGGCCATGACACTATGTTGCATCCTGCTCTATCTGGTAAGCACTTTTCTGAGACTGTTGGACGCCTACACATGGCCAATAAAACTTGCACGGCGTAGCCATTCGCCTCGTTCTTCTCACAGCGCTGGAGAATTGCGTCAGCCCAAGGATGAGACGAGCCTCAACTTTCAGCTTATCAATGTGGTAAGTTTGGTGATATCCTCACAAATTATGTAAGGAAAACGTTAAAAGTTGGAGAACAATAGTTAAATTTTCATAAGGGGAATTACTCACAAGATTGCTGGAGACTCTTCGGCGGCGTACAATAGGTCTCACCGTTCTTGAAGCCCATCAGGTAGGAACTGTTCCCAATTTTCACCCAGGAGTTTGTTAGGCCAAAAGGCTGAATCTTAAGGCACCAAGATTTCATTCTACTAACAGTTCAAATCAATGTCACAATTCAGCCAAGTGTAGGCTAACGGCGATGGTCTAGGAGGAATTTGAGCTAGGAACTTCCTTCCGGTTCCCTCCATGTGGAAATTCTTACTTGATCTTCAGAGTGACACCAAGGTAGCTTTTGAGTGAGCGCACGGCTAACCTCATTTATCATCGATAAACAAGTTAGATAACGAAGATAAACGAAATGTTCCAACGACGCTCAAAGAATCAGCCGTTTGCTATATCCTCTTAACTTAAACAGGAGGCAGCCTTTCTGGTGTATGCGGTTGAGATCCTTGTACATGAGTGATTAGAATGCTGTTAGGCACAAATCAGTTTGCAATTGAGTGCACTTCGCGTAATTCTCAAAGTCTGATATTCAGAGAAAATGCAAAACTGGCGTGCCTTAGTTTGTCTAATCAGCTCAAAAGTGGATGAAAACAGTAGTGGACTCTCGAAGAGTTTTCGGCAACCATTGGGCTCTTTCAAGCGGTGATCTGTTTGTGTTTCCGACTACAACAAAAGCCACTAAACAAATCCGCCTACAGTGCATGTCTTGTGCGTGACGACAGATACGTTCTGTACTCTGGTCTGCCAGAAGGCAATTACAAACAGAAACGTAGTGTTTGGGTTTTAGATTTGGGTCGAATGTGAATCGATTTTGACGGGAAGCGTTTTTTGTCTGTTATGCATTTGGAGGTTCTTCTCTTAGGGTGCCCGCTCTAATGTTTGACTTGCGCCAGAAGGCACGCATTAAGGAGGATATTTTCAAGAGTTGAAAGTTATTCAGAACAAATCTGGTGTAAAGGGTTTTCAGGGTGAGTTTATTATACGACTGTGCTTTCGTTGGACCAGGAAATTCCGAACATCGAATTATTGTCTAGTCACTACCGGATGACCAGTAAAGCTGTCATCAGTATCTGCTTGATCACCATGGATTTCCCTCCATAAAAGTTTGATGAATAAATAACTCGACATTGTTGAGTATTTTCCGTGTAGCTGTACTGCTACTGACAGCCTAGTGACCGGTGAAATCCTTCCTCAAACGGTCAAGCTTCGGAAGCAAAGGCACTGAGATTGAGGCTGACCTGTCTTTCAAAACTTGAGTCTAGATTGATCCAAGAAGCCCGGTCTTGCCCCACGATACCGTAGCCTGGCTACTGTGGGTATAGTATAAGCGTAGCTTCCCGGCGTCTGCACAGGTCCCGATGGGCATATCGCACAAAGACCGGCTGTGTTCTCTGCTCTATATACTGGACGTCTGCCTTCCCCGTAGAAAACGTTTTGTTTAGTCGTACGGTGAGAAGCAACTTTCTGCTGAGTTCCAGAGAAACCATTGTAAGTGGTTTTGGGTCGAAAGAAGTAAGTAATGAGAAGTGTGTGAGAGTATTCATCACTCCATGGTGATAAGAAGAGTCAACAGAATTCTCAGGCTCCCTTCAAATGTTAGCGGATGAAGTTTCTCATACCATATTTTTTGATTCCAGAGAGAGCACCCGGCAAACTTCACGTCAGCTGATCGACAGCTAGAGGTGATATCAACAGAAGAAACTTGCTTGAAAATCCCGGTGAATTTGATAGATAACAAAGGGAAAAGTTGTGTGCTGGAACGCAATTTTTCAACTGTTCTTCACAGGTCTTCAGGAATAAACTGACCGATAATTTTAGACGTGGAAATCTCAATAATGACCTTGAGAGAAAGAATTTCAAATTCTGAATCTTTCTGACGCACCATAGCCGATAAATCTCCCACCACTGCATAACCGATTTGTCCAAACTGGATTGTCCTTAAAAAATGTAACTTTTACTTGCCATGCTCATCTTGAAAAAAGGGAAAAAACAAATCGATCGAGTTCACTGAACGCGCAGTAGGTTTGTAGTGCACTGCTGATGATGGCCATAACACAACTCAGAAAGTATATGCACCGATAAAAGTTTTCAGTATGGTTGACAGTTGCAACACTTATAAGAATAAATACAATGCAAAGTTGGAGCAAGTCAAAAGAGGAACTTATCGTCTGTGAGAGTTCCTCGGTGAAAGTTCGGACGGCGGTAACGTGTTCCCTCCGCAGTACGACTGCTACACGTGTTCCATAATTGTCCGTGGACATGTGGAAAGTGGTTGACCTCGTGCTCTCTGCGCGCGCGCGAGTCCGACTTTGTTTGGTTTCCCTATATGTAGGTCCGTTTGCGTGTACGTGCCAGCGCATGAGTTGTTGCTACGCTCACTAGACGGTACAGTCAATCGACGTCTGATAAGTCACCTTAATGTAACGTGTTTGTGGGTATGTAAAGAAGACAAGTCTCGTGATCCAGTGAGCGACTGTGAGCTGAACATTCAAGTATGTGGGTGACTGGGTAGCTACAAGTTCAACATCAATGAACCCCGTGCATTCGTTGAGTAATGATTTAACTGCTGAAATGTTCCAGAGACCCCCGTTGGTCTACTGACACATATTCAGTAACACTTACTCAAACAGGTATCAATTTTTGTATGTCGCTTTGGAGCCACATATACGGTGAATATAGCAGCTGAGTTTGCCGGCACGTTTCTGACTGGAGCTTCCTTATCCTATGTTATTCTGATCCAAAGGACCAGCCAAAGTGAGTTGAGGTCACCTGCGATAGGCACGACTTTTACTGAGGGGTACAGACAAATGTTGGTCAAAAATTAGAAAGATATGAGTGAACTCGGGGTCTTGAGGAACACGTTCATGCAAAAGCGAATTTTTAAAAGGTTAGCCAATTATCATTTGAATGCCTCTCGCTTCGTGCATTATCTTGTTTAGGGCTAGCTGTCCAAACTTTGAGTGGAGTTCGGTGCTCAGCCAGCAAGTTTCACCTCCCAAGTTAAAATGATTTCTTTATCACGTCTATCAAATGCGTTGCGTCGTTTTTGTGTCGGAGGACTCCAGAAATGTTATCTTGTACTTTTCTAAGTTAAATCCCTGTCCAGAAGGACCCGATTTCTCAATAAATAGATCTCCAATGGGTCGCTGACCTTTTTAGTCGACCTGGGTACGTGGGTACGAAAAAAAACACTGCTGCCTTACCAAAGTCGTCTTCAGGTGGGCTTTAATTACGTCTCGTACGTTTATCTGGAGTTTTTCTCATCAGAGGCATCCGGTTTGTCACATTCTCTCACAGCCCCCAATTCGTTCCCCCGCTGCTATGCCGACGGGTGTTTTCTTCACTGTGATTGAAGAGCTCGGTTCAGCTACTTATTGTAAGAAAGTTTGCGGGAAGTAGTCTGCTCCATAACTGTTGCTGTGAATGTGCGCATAAACTCATAAAATCGTCAAGATACATCTGAACAACCTTGTAGAATAAACATGTTCAGGATGGTTGAGGTAACTCATACGCGCGTTGAATGCAATCATCATGCGAAAGCGGAAGAAAGCGAGGTAGGGACGGTCAATAAAGCAGTACGGTTAATTAATCCTTTCTCGTTTCATTGTCATTAAACCTAGCTACATCATAGGACGTGCCTATTAAGCAAAATTGAGCGGCGTATCGATCGATCAATTAGCCATTCTGTCCACCACTAGTTGTCAACAACTAATTAGCCGTAAAATCACATGATATCTCATTTCAACTTGATATCAGTGAGATTTCAGTAATCAGTCACGGATGATCAATACCAAACTGGCTTGGACAAATCAATTTTAGGTTCTCACTCCAGATTGTTCGGTCCAGATTCGTTATTTATTCTCCGAGTGTGAAATTTAACTATATCCCCCATAGACAAATTGTGTGTGCAGCCAATTGTCATCAAAACACGGGGTGCTACCAGTTCGAACAGGTCTACAAGAAGTGACAGTTATCGACTTGGTGATAGACAAAAGTGCGAGCATGTCATGAAGAACACTCGAAGGTTGGTTGTTTAACATAGGGTGGATCTTGATGGGAGACTAAGTGACACACGTGTTCAATAGAGAATTTGAGAGCAAAACTGTTTGTTCACCTTTGATACTTCAGAATTATCCCACTTCCTAAGGGATGCGCTAACGCCTTCAGCAGGTTCCGTCAAGGTTATTTATTGAGGATTCTCTCTTATTATGACGTTGATTATGACAATATCAATATATCTAGCATCGTCCGGTTACTGACCAGACGCAGTCTACCACATAAATTGGACAAATATTCATCATCATCATCATCATCATCATCATCATCATCATCATCATCATCATCATCGTCATCATCATCATCGTCATAATCATCATCATTGACGGGAACACCGGACGAAACCATCGGGGCTTCACTACTTTGGATACACGCTGGCACATAGGCCCCACCTTTGCAGCTTCAAAATTAACGACGTTCTGCCAGTGTTTGCAGAAGAGAAGACAAGGACCGCTGGAGGTGGAAGACTTGGCGGTCACAAGTCTAGTCCTTCTTTACTATTAAAATCACGTGAAAGACCAGCTATGCCCCATTGGGTGCTGCATAACTGCTGACATGCGTCAGTATTTTTGTTATGTTTTCAGTCTAGTACCCAAAGCGCACACGGTAAAACCCGGACATAAATATTCCTTGATTTCCATTAATTCCAGTGTCTCGTAATGAGCTGTTCCGTCCAGTTCTCTGTCTTCCTCTTACTTCTTGCAATGTTCCCCCTCAAAATGGCTGCCCATACATAGATTTCAGATCTTTCTAGAATGCGTTGAAAACCTCAACAACCAGTCTCGTTGTTCCCTAAAACGAATGTACGAAAAGATTCACAGATGTTGGATTAAGATGTCATTTTCCTGTTGAATGTTTGCTTGTCTAAATATATAGTACCGGTGTCAATAAAGCAATGAAGCTTCCGTTTACTCCCCAAGTTTGATAGTCTGTTTGTTCCTCGATGATCGATTTTTAAGATTGTAATTAAACAGTTCTTCCACCCTGGTTTTATTGCCCGGCGTCTTCCTGCCATGACTTCGGACGAATAGCGTCGCTTAGATTGCTCCGTTCATCATCTGCGGCCAGATAAAAGTCACGTATCAAATGCTGATACATCCAGAAGTAGTTCAGCTTCTAAGGCTTTCTCTAAATTTGCACCAATTCTTCGAGAAACCCCACTTTAGGATGTACCACTGTATTTCACTTGGCGTTCATTCTGGTTAGCCTTATGCTAACCTCACTCCGATTGCTTGTATTATATTCGGTACTTGCCAGAAAACAGTACGTTGAATGTTTCCTGTTGATAGCCTATGGAGAGCGACCTTAAGTCTCGAATGTACTTTCGATTAGGCGAAATGAAGACTTGCATTGCCCTTCTGAGAAGGAAACGTGGATGTAAACGTGTCAATGCAGAAGGTGGTTGACATCATTAAGGAGCTCCAAAAGTAACTGGACTGCACAACTGTAAATAGAATAACCGTTTTCGTTGAGGCAGATTTGATTGGTTAAATGAGTTAAATGAGTTCTATGTTTAGCATCACTTTTTGGCCCGCCTAGAACTTTCCAAGTGTGCTTTATAAACAGACCATTTTCGGCTGCACATGACACGCCTGTAGGCGTCAGTGTTAAATAGATCAGCTGACTCATGTGATCATTGGTTTCTTGTTTGGCTGAGCGCATCAGGCTATTAAGCGGCTATCCAACACATGCTCACGGTATTGAGAAGGCATTAGGAAAACTGTGGTCCACAACAGCAGGAGAGAAACAAATCCAAAAAGCTGAAACGCCGTGTCCTGGAGAAGCTTAAAGTTCTTTTGTTTAGAAAAATTACTGTCCATTTAAAATCTTCGGATGTTTTTTCCAAATTTCACTTTCCAGAACCCATAACTGTTCAGCTGTAATACCTTGTTGATTCAAAGCTGTCACGCTACTCGAAGGAAGTACCAGAGGTGCTGAATTACTGCTAGGTTGCCCACGCCTACAGAGCAGCACCCTAGATGCCTGAGTTGAGTTCAGTAACTTTGCCACCGTTCCATCACCAGCTCTCTTGATTTATGTGCCGAGAATTTACCTGCGGCATGAGTACCTTATGACGTAGAGGCAAACTTACATGAGATGGCATCCATAGCGAAACACACTCATTTGCAATCTCATTTGGTTTTGCGAGCTAAATCAGGGCTGAGGGAGATCCAGAAAGCAAATCTTGTGGTCATACGCCACCACTTGAGTAAACAATCATGTTCTTCGTTGCATTTTTCAGATTCCTAATGTCCTGATGTTACATGATGTAATCGAGAAGCCCGAAAGTGAATTGCGCGAAGAACTTCAGACTTATCTGAGGTGAGTGATTTAAACGTTCGGCAAAGACTTGTCCAAGCTCACAAATCTTGTCCTTGGATGCCATCGCGACTTGTTTTTCCGATCAAAACTCATGGCGAAACACTCAACTGCATTTTGAAATCCACCCATTTTGTAAACTCTGGTTAGTTAGTGACAGGTCTTCGGCATTAAAAGTCCATTTTTTTGGTCCCCCAACTAAAGGCATTCTAAATTCGACCGACTGCTAAACGCTTCGGACTATGATCAGACGCAGAGTGCATCTATCAAACCAGAACAAGCAGATAGTTCTATTGCTGTCTACACTGCCTTAGTGTAAACCGCAGAGGCCATAGTAACCAGCAATATCGGCTCTACAAACACTGCGGACATCCTGACCCACTGTGACTCGTTACAAGGCCGTCCCCGACTCCCGCAACTAACCACAATACCCTGTGGTATTCAGCTCCAAAATTCAGTTACTTGTGACGTGGACTAACTAACTCACTTCATAAATCGCATTCCATGACCATTTGACCAATGGTTACCACAGTTTCTGTCTAATCAGCGGATGTGCATCGCAGAGAACTTTTTCTGAGGCTCCACTCAACTAACAGTGCACTCACAGTAGCAGACGATTCCACAAGACACACAGAGGAAGACCATGGGTTATTTTTCTTCACTGTGACCAATACAGAACTGGTCAAAGCTGAAGCTTCGCCGAGTGGCCTAATGCATTTATTGGGTCAACCAAAACTGGCCAGGGTTTAAAGTTACACCCCTCCCCTACAAGGGCGGGCATCAACGTAAAAAAAACTGGGATGGTGCTCTCTCGGGATGTATCTTGTTCCATGACCTCTGAGTCACTGAGTTCCAGTAGCAACTTTACACGGTCCGGAAAAATACAGATTTCAGCGACAGTCTCTGCGAGGATGGAGAACCAGCCGCATATTCGTGACTCTCCGTCAGCGGTCACATGATTTGAATACGTTGGCTGGTGTCTAGTAAGATCATCAGATACATCTCAAAGTGGATAGATCAGCTAAACGGAGTGGATGGTAATCCGTAGTCAATTGATAGCAGCCCGAATCAGCTAATCAAAAGCGACAAAACAACAACGATAAATGGTCATTCAAGGTTGGTTGATGCGGTTCTCCGAACACCAAGCCACACCTCTTTACACTTTGCGCTGCTGTGCATTTCCCCCTTCTACGTTGCACTTCTTGAAACCGGATTTTACTTCACAAACTGAACAGAGGCGATCACCATCAGTATCTTTTTCCAGGGTGAACGCTTTTGCTTGCATCAGTTTGCTTCGAAAAGATGCTCCTTCTTTGGACTGCGTCCCGAAGCTCTTTGTGCCGAAACCTCAAGCGTTCAGTTCGGTCCACTTTTGGTGATACCAGCTGTACAGTAGCGGTGTCATACTGCGAAGATCAGGTTAAAATATCAATTGGAAATGACGGCAATACTGGACATAGGGAACTGCCTCACTCCGCTGCCCTGCCGTGTTGGAGAAATATGTACACGTTCCCACCAATCAGAAGAGTGTCATGGTCCAAGAATCGGGTGATGCTGACAGGAAAAGCATGTGCATAAGTGTGCACGTTGTTGTGACTATGCAACACCAGTGTAACGGCAGAAATCTGAGAAACCACATACTACTCGCTTGCCTCGTCAGTAGTGTCTGCTGTTCCACCACACTGAATGCTCACAACAAGCAGGAATGTGATAAAGTTTTGAACAAACGGTCTTAGTGTAAACAGCACAGCAGGAATAAAACTTTTTACAGTGTATCATGTGTGGGGTTTCCTGGGGCTGGACGATTTCTAGCCCCAGTGTTTGCGTCATTGATCAGCGTCTGACTCACCGAATTCCAACGTCCTAACTGCTGTCGTCCGTTTACTTAGACAGTGGAAGCTATAGTTTCCAAGACGGTGCAGTGTACGCTCGAAACCAGTTTTTCAACCTGACTGTTTTAGTTGTAGATATATCTCTAGCGGTTGAACACACTTTTGGCTAGTCTCTTCGTAAAGGCACTTTCAGGCGAAGTGCTACTGCCATTCCGCAGAGAGATTCGTTCCAACTCGGTATCGACTTAGCATAACCAGTTGATCTACTTACAGAAGATAACGAAAGTAGCATCGTTCATGTCTCAAATTTTCAATTCATATACGTGGTGGACCAATGGGTAGTCTTTTTGTGAACAGGGTGAATCACTAGCATAGGGTCACGTGAGCATTTCATCTATGTTTAACTAGTCTCGTTAATTTTCTTGCAAGTGTTATAGAAATGAAGGAGAAAATACATACTACTTGTTCACGTGAAAATAGTAAAGCCAGGCAGGGTAACAAATAACTCGGCATAAATTCTGATCAAACCGTTGTGTTCATTTGAATACTTCTTTCTCAAAATGAATCCTAATACCATGTCTGAACACTGCAGTTTCCACTCAGAATCTGCTTTAGGCTTATGGTTGCAATCAGAGCTACTTAATCGTCCATGCTGTCTTGTATTAGTGATCACGTGATACAAAGCAATGAATTCGTCCAACACGCAGCTATTCCCGTAGATGCTTTCTTCTCATTTCTCACCTTCCTCCTACTGCTCCAACTTTAGTGCTTTGGATCCGAATGCAACGATCAAATGGATTCATTACGTTCGGGATCTCTCGGACCTGGCCAGATTGGAAATACGCAGGTGATGTTTCATCGACAGTACTCAGTCGATTACCTCTCTTGAACGGTATTGATTTTTTTAAATCAGATCAGCCAGAAAGGAATTCCTTTCTTTCGAGCTACTCCCAATTTCCCTGGTGAATCACTGCGCTGATGCGTTTGATTTGGAATCTCGTCCAAAGCGTAGGAACTTTAGAGTCGCTGCTTATGATTTCTGCTTAATAACATCCAAGTAGCGTCTCAATTGTATGAAAGATTGTCTCATGCTGCTGGTAAGCAAGCGCGGTCGATTTAAATAAGGTAGATAGAGATAAGAGAGATAGGAGAGATAAGATATAGAGATAAGATAGATGTACCAGGCCAGAGTTGATTGATTTGTTAAAAGTTGAAATAGGGATGAATTTACGGTTAACTACAGATTGGCCTGCAAGTTAGCAGGAAGTGGCGATGAGGCACGTCTAAAGAGAATCGTTAGAACCAATCTATTTGACTGATGATTGACTGTAAACACATGGACGCTCACCTTGTTTCTCACGCCTTTTTTTCACTGTTCGCGCTTATGTCGCCCCATCTTGTCAAGTACATGCATGCAGTTGACCGAATCCATTCCGCCTTGTCATCGTTCTCATAATAAAATTTTGAGATCGACTAAAATATGGACTGAAAGTGTTTTTGAAACCTACGCCATTGTTAGTGTCAAAGTACGTCTCAAAGCCTTTCTCAAAGTCGATTACAGGTATTGTAAATGAGAAGTTCATCCGAGTCTGCTGTCATCACGGACGAATGAGTGCTTATCACAAGCTGAGGGTACGATTGCTTGAACATGTGTTATTTCATCCTTCAACTGGCGCAGGTGATCTTTGAAAAACAACTACGAGTGTTTTCGATAAATACGCTCATTTGCAAATCAATTCGATTTTCACGAGAGACTCAACTGAATCTCTCGTTTATGATAGTCTGCAACTGAATGTGCCGCATACAGTTGGTACGATATTCGAAACATCGCAGTATATTTTCAGTATTTTCGTTGACTAGCAAGTGAGTGAATTTCTCGAAAACAGTCCGATTTAGGTTCAAGTAGAACCCGGGGACTGCGCCTACCTGATGAGCCCAGAGTGGAGGGGAGAAACCGGTCGTAGGCTGTCGAAGATTTTTCAGCAACCTAGTGAGTAGTTTCCCTCATGAAAACTACGAGGGTTCATTTAGAACATCAGAAAACGACTGACTTATCGATTACCATATAATGTCTTGGGCTCAGCCACTGAACACAATAACTGTAAGCAAAGCGCCATATCAGAAAAGTACATTTATAAATAGGTTGCAAGGATGAGTGGACGGTGAGCACGATCTCACCGGATAAAACCCTGAAGTAAGGGCCCCCTACATAAGACTTTGAGTTTCGCTTAGAGAGGAGTTACTGGGCGGTTATGGTAAAGTCAACGCTTACAAGTGAATTTTTGATGACAAAGTGAAAATTGACGCAGCCAAACTAAAATCACATCTACCGTTTCTAGTGTGACCTGACGGATGATATTCATACGAGTAGACGGCATTCGATAAATCATACTGGACAAGTGATTCTGGTTAACTTAGTGGTTCGAATATATAAAGGTATTCGCAATCGTAATGGTCACGTTTTCCGCTTCTAGAGCTCGAACGCAGATCGATGCAGATCGATAGACGCCCTGGTACTCTGTGAAACAGAAGCTAAGTTGTGCGACCCACGCAGTTTGCGGAAAGCCCGCACACCAAGGAACAGATTCACAATAAATAATCATGGATTGGCAATCTGTCCTTAAGGTTTTTGTTTAACAAACTGTTTGACACTAACGAGCTGGACATTTAGATGTACTGTTCTTGAATATTCTTGGGAAAGAAACTTATAGTCGATGTTTTACAGCTTAGGAAGCCCCGTAAGTGATAAACTGCGGCCGTGAATAGGAAGATTTTATTGGGACCGAAATGAACTGTCTGAATTCCGTCCCATCTGGGTGGGTCTTTATATTTATATTCATTTTTAAATGCACAAATGCAAATAATTCACTCGGTGAACATTGACCAATTCCAGCACCATTTGAAGAACTTTCAAAGAGGGAGATTTCACGCTCCATAGGGCAGAAGAGTGGATTTGGTTTGAGATAACTTCAAACTGTAAGCTCAGTTCAGCGGTCCGTTGAGAGTCCCGAGGAAGTTGTAGGACTGCAGCCTACCGAAGTATATGAATACGCTTCAAGGGTCGTAAAGCTCAGCGCGGCAGTAAACTAATCCAATGATGTGAACAACCAGACGTCTGTCTCCTGTTTTATGGCCATACGAGCAGTAAGCGACTGATTTATACGTCTCTTTACTAATAGTATGTATTCGAAAGTACATGCGGTTCATATTTCGGTGTAAAACTATCGAGTTTAGGGCAATCGCAATGAGATTTCAAACAGGCTACTGTACCTGCCCGTATGCAGTACAGTCAACAGTAGGAAAATGGTACGCATTTTGGGCACCCTGTTAACTTCGTTGTTGAGGGCCGGGTCGGATGATATCAGTGGAATCCGAAACAAAAATAGATCGCACACTGCGAATGCTTCGGTCCGATCAAAACATGTGCTTGGACAACTGTGCCTGAATTCTAGTTTTGCCGGAATTTCGCAGTGACACGGCTCAGGACGTTGGTAAGACGAACTGTGTACACTATGAGGATTATTCCGCATCTGGATTATGCAGAGTGTCTTTTACGCAACCGTTCACAATAAAGTTTAGGTACGAAAGTAAAAGAACAATTGTTGGACAGTTGATCAGACATCCAAATTAGGTGGAAAAACCGCAGAATCTTTTTTGCAAGATTCAGTGTGTCCATCTAATACAGAGCGAGGAACATCAGTGTGGCTTTATCACAAATGTGGACGGGTATGGCTGACTGAACAGTCTGGAAGTATTGCACAGCCAACGAAAACTTTTGCAGATTTGCCCCCAACTGGTGTAGGAAACAAATCAATTCAGTGAGGGGTACTTTCGTTCAGACTAACTGTTAGGCGGGATTCCACATGGACCTCGATTTACCACTCGTAGTCAGGTGCTGCTATGGCCGAGAAGCTCATCCCACGCAGGAGTGATCAAAAGTTCCGGACTCTTGCCGGTCCGGCATCAACCCAAGATCTGATTGGTCGAAAGTCTGGACCCAACAGCCAATTATGACCCAGCATCGGCCGAATGCCGGTCGCCAATGACGCGTCCAGAGCGCGTCAGAATTTCCAGAAAGTTATTGCCGCATACGCTATATATATGAAGCGCTGTACAAGCGTTCCTGCCTTCGTTTTGAGCATTAATATACCTTGTGCACCTTTGGTGGTTGTTTCGACGTGAACGCTATCTTGGGAGGCTCAGACCGAGAACTAAGCTGATAAAAATACCGTTACTACACGAATTACTCAGTTTCCACGGAAACAGACCTGTGTCTCCTAGCATTTGAGGACCGGTGCTGGTGAAGAGGATTGCAACCAGACATCGAAAATCTGGTCGTTGGATGATGAGGGGATTTGAACCCAGTGCGCTCAAGTGGATACACATCAATGGTTCTGTGAGAGATCAGGTAAAGCAGACTCTTAGCCTCAACGTGTTCGAACCGAATAAATGCAGTTTCTGGCCTGCAACCCTTACCTTTCGCCTCCCATGTGTCCAACTTTCGCTGATCCCACAAAGGAGCAATGGACGTGAAACTTTGACGGGCGGTACACTCCCATCAAGATGTTAGTTTTATCCCTCATGCAGACATGAAGCGGTCGGGCGATCCTACCACTCATACGATCTCATGGTGCGCGTTTGTGTGCACATGTAAAAATGTCCACCGGCTTTGACATCCGTCAACTGGCCCAGGCCAACCTTCAGCGCATGGTTTCGTTCCACATACACTTTTGGTTTTCGTGCTGTCCGGCTCACATGGTGTATGTTGTATCGATCCTTGTAACCTCGTCACCTCGTCATAGACACATTCCCTATTTGGGTCACTCTGCGGCTAACGTGCTGTTCAGCAGTACGATGGTGCTAGCTGTCCGGAATTAAAGTGATTTATAGTAGACAAGGAACATTCATAGTTTGAGGTGGTTTTGGAAATCACTAGACATAGTCTGGAACGAGAATTAGCGCAATGAAGACTCATCAGTAACAGTCACGTATGCACGTAACCAAGCCACTGTGGTATTCGGCGAATAATCAAAAATCCTGTCACGTGTTTTCACGCCACCTCAAGTAAGGATTTCCACTTACTTTGGTGCAAAGATTGTTGTAAATGAGAGTGTGGTGGACTGTTTTTTCCGTAAAACTTGTGAATATTAACGTTACGGGCGGGTAGAAACAGGATTATTCTGTAAAATTTCAATAGGCAGCAAGTATCGTGGGTCAACGAAAGTCTGATCACCTGCATTTTATTCGTACAGCATTTATCTATCCCATTTCTCTTTGAGGAGCAACATTTAAGCAACTTTAGGGGTGATTTACGTCAGCTATTTTTCCACGTTTACAAGTTTGTTGCTCCTGCTTTATGAGTTCGGGTGGCTCATCAAACTGTACACCACTAGTTCTCTTCCAAAATTCCCCTTTTCATCTGTTGTACACTTAGACGCGAGCTGGAGTGCTTCAATCGATTAAGTGAGGAAGAACTGAAACAAACTGGGATTCCACCGACGTATCGACGAAGTTGCTGCGATCCCACATGTTGTCACCCATCCTTGGCTTTGCCACTCGATGCGATCGAGACGTATTCAGCTCAACTTGAAGAGATAGAGGAACAGCAAAAACAGATCCGAGCAAGCATGGGGCTTGATGGAGATGGCTGTGTAAACGAATGTAAAGCCACTTTCACGGGTCTGGTGTTTGTTGGACTAAATTCTCCAGAGTCTTCACTCACGTGAGTTGCTATTCGCCAAAGACACGGTACTATGACAAACGCCTGTCAATATTTTCATATCTCTGCCTTAAATTGAAGTTTTTGACCTTGGATTGAGTCAATCTATTCCCTAGTCACTGAACCTATTTTTTTCATTTCACTGCACGAACTCATATAAGTGCAATCCAGTTTTGGAAACTTTGTTACAGTCGAAACACCCTAAGATGACACCACGGTCGAATAACCAGCCACGACTGGCTCGCAAGAACGGCTTCAGTTTCAGGGTCATCTGCAATCTTATCGAAATTGAAGTGATATTCATTAGCGAGATAGGTTGTCCGTTGTTCATTTGAATCCTTCGGGACATAACATCTGGTTTGTCACTGAACAAGGGACTGAACAAGATGAGCGATTTCTTACAAAGATACAGCAACTAGCAACAGATGAGTTGTAACTAAGCCGATTAGATCAAAAAAGGTAGACAGTGTTGGCTGTCGTTCCGTTTCTGAAGCCTTGATGGTGGTGTGAAGATAGCTTGCTTACACTACCATCAGCTTAAATGTCCGGAGGCCAGCTGTCACTAATAACCGAATATCACATCATCTGGACGGATGTGTCACGTGCAAGACGCGGACCAAACGAAGACATGCCCTAATTGGTCAGAATGCCAGCCAATCTGGATCGAGCATCTTGGACTAGACGCTTCTCGCCCCCTCGCGGAGATTCCAGCACGATCTTGTGGAACACCGTTTGATTACCCTATAAATACACTTGTAGTAATTTCCCTTTGTCTAGAGATACCGTGCCTTTTGATATACCGTATTGGGCGGAGCAGGAAACCAATGGACCGATACAGAGGTGCACTACCGTTCACAAGACACAACACTACAAATGTCTCAGATGAAGAATAATTTCACAAAATAAGTGCAACTTTCATCTGACGAGTTGTCATTCAATGGGCTAGACAAAAAGTTTGACCACGTGATCACTTTGATCCCGTGGCATTACATCACGTCGCAGTGCGAGTTAATCACACTCCTGATCAGCCGCTCGTCATCGAAAGGTTATGCTTTCAAACGAAAAACCAGAAGGTCGTGGGTTCTGTACTCCCTCAGCGTTTGGGAATAGATAGGCTTCAGTTACGGGACGAAATCTCGGTTCAGGATAACGTAGCTCCTAATGGTTTTGGGGGGAGGTTTGTGGAAGGAAATGTCTGTCAGCGACGTTAGATGGAAAAGACACCAGATTTACGCAAAAATACAGTTCATATCCTTTTGTGCTAGAACAGCGATTCAAACCACACTGTCCAGCTCAAACAAAAGTCACCACGATATTTAGTTATCGAACTGCCCGTCTCACAGCCCGAGCTCGAGACCCTTCGAAATCACCTCAGTTATCGCGACGATCGCATTTAAATCAAATGGTTTGCGGCAAAAATCGCGAGTAAGTGAAAAACAAAGTTTGGTGAAGAGCTGGATAATTTGATGAGTGTTGTGTTTTATTGATCCAGGATGATTCATTTGCTTCTGAAGGCCTTGCTAGTATACTTACACTTCTGTTGCCCTTGCTGCATTTCGCACACGTATAACGTACTTTGGGATATTTCTGATAACTGTATGGATGAACTCTTTTCAAATATGACAGCCACACTTTGAGGAGTGATGGATATCTGGAAAGCTAACTCGTACACATCGGTTTTGAGTAACAATGCTTTCAGCTGTTAGAACGTTTCGTCCGTTGGCAAGAGTCTTCTAGCATACAGGTTTTGACGAATCCGAACTGGTCTTCCAAATGTCCATAGCCTTAAAGTATTTTGAATCCTTTATTCGATACTTAAAATAGACTTTGTAGCATAACCTAACGGACTGCGTTCTAAAGGCCTTCAAACTATCCTGACAATTTTCCATTATTCTAAAATCGTGTTATGTCAGTACCGATTCTCGGATTACTGGGGAAAAACTATCACGTTGTTTCCTTCTAATCAATAAATGACCTTTTATCTATTGATTTCTACGTTTCTATCAACGTAGTATGTTTGAACATTGTCGAGGACACCCTTGATTGGCTGTCGCTGTGACGGGCTGTTGATGTTGATCAGCTAAATTACACGAAATGTTGTGCCCAACTCTACAGTGACGCACATTACTGTACTTGAAAGAACCTTTCCTACATATGTATATATTTTGTTACCCTTTCTTTCTCATTCTGAAGGCCGACCATTCAGTTCCTCGTTTTAGATTTCATCTTTGAGATTCATTGTCAGTGAAAAATTTTGTCCTCTTTGAATTTATGGAAAAGTGATGTGATGCGCACTTTCTGACCGACAACTTTGTTCTTCGGAGGACACCAAAACAGGCGTTTGGCACACCCACACATCCCATTCCAGCTGGGCTGATTTTAGAGAGCACATGATAGTGCGAGTAGATTCGAGAACACCTTTTAAAAGCTCAGACGAAGGATAAAATTTACCCGATGTGTAAAACTTACATGTGAGAAATCGTCACTCGGGACACCAGTATGGACGTGAGACCACGTGAGGTGGATTACGTAACCAAAGAATGTGTCAGTCTGGTCCCGGGTCAAGGGGGAACTAATGACGCTGGTGGTCAGCCGTCCCCAGCCGTACTATTAACTATTCAGTCTTTGGTTCTAGACTCCCTCACGTATGGTGCGATGCCGACCGCTGATGAGTCCCAATAGGGATGAAATAGCAGAAGAGTGTTCCCCAGTTTCTCAACGTAGACTGGATTCGCTCACACGACAAACTGGGGACGGGAAGACTCAGTGGTTAGGGCCGAGGGGTCCTTGCCTAAAGATCGACCCCTGACTCTTGACTTCCCCTGTCTAGGTTTTGGGCAAACTGGCAATTAGCAATGAGCTTGCCAAATGCCAAACTCGGTCACAAGCGTTGAAAATTTGGTTACTATAGAAGAACTGTATGCGGAGAAGGTCATTCGATGGGCACAATAAAAGTTAAACAGGAATGTTCAAGCGTACTTCTTCTATACCCTAGAAACTCCTAATCGATTGCATTTTGTACTCTGAAGGCTATTTATACATTTGTTGCTTGTAAAAACTGTTGTGCACTTTGCACTACTTATGAGCAGCACGATTAATGGAACGAAATCCATCCAACTCACTTCGACAACCTCCTTCCATTCAGTATAGCAAAGGAGTTATTTTCACTGGCTAAAATCACAATCCCACTCTCATATACCGTTCACCCGGAAACCCACAAACACGGTGTTGTATGGAGCAGTTTCGAATCCCCTCTGCCCCAAGCCGTACGAAAACTTCGCCAACCGTTTCAGGAACTGCTGCTGGCGCCGGCAGCAGAAGAGCTCATCTGGTAAGTTGTGTCGTGAATTTCCCGTTTACTTTATTTGTGAACCCTTTGTGTTTGTTGAACTCACCGTCGCAATACTAGTTGAATTACGCGGCTGAATTTGCAGCCCCGATATCCGGACGTGTGGTGTGGTGAACAGTGTCTAACACAGGGCTGCTGTCATTACCCAACCAATCACTGTTCAATGTAAACGAGACATGAGTGCCCACAACTAAGCTGTCATTGTCTGACTGTATGACTGCTTGTCTGTAACACGCATGCCGAATAGACTCGTTAACGTTAGCCATATTGGCTACCATGTTTGGTGTATTACACCGACATAAGCGCCAAGCGAAGGTCATCATCATCGTCATCATCATCAGTGGGATCGGTGTTGAAAGCCACCTTACACTAATAAGTCCGTGTGCACCTTCCAGTGGGAACCAGTTGGAACCCCCGCCCCCACACTTTCGAATAACTTATTCATTGTTTGGTTGGGTTTGTGTATACCTACAATCCACGCAGTTATTTTTTTCTGTTGTTTTACAATCCGGACAAGGAAGCATATCCAAATGAACTAATACTGCTTTTTCCCATTCAGATTTTTATGGATTTATCCGTATCTCGCAAATCAAAATTTTTAAACAGTTATTCCGCTGCGGTTTCAACGATCCGAACGAAATGCCACCCTCGCCGAGTTGTATCGCCTAAGTGCTAACATCCAAGAAAAGTCTAAAGAGGAATTTAATTGAATTACATACCTAGAGATGAAAAATCCTGGTGGACTAGCAGAACTTTCTGAAAATCAACGCTTGCCGGAAGAAGACAGAATATTTGTAATGCATTACTCATGAGGTCGTTGAAAACCGTTCGACAGCCTTCAGCAACCTTATGAGAAGTACATTACAAAGGTACACATTTATCGCGAGTTCTCGAATATCGTAGAGACTCTGACATGAGGCAGCACATTCAGTTGCCTGAAAACATCCAAACGAGAAGTTCAGCTGGGTTCCAGGTGAGTCTGTCGCAAAACTAAATTAGTTTGCAAATGAGCGTATTTTGCTAAGAATAGATATTAGTTCAAGGAGGAAAGACGGCTAGCCAGTTCTGGAAAGGCGCTTCCCATCGCGTTGTGGGAACGTTTGCTGCCCACTGTGGTTGCTTTGTTATTCAACGACGTTAGGCCCACTTTTTATTTGCACGAATGCGGTGTAAGCGTTGCATGCCAAAATAAACAAGCATTCGATAATTAATAGACTCCAACTATTCCCCACATTCTTTATTTGCAGGACTAACTTGATGCAAAGGCGTCACCGAGGACTCTTTTGGCAAGTAGTGGTGTTCTTCAGGGCTTTCGGAATTTTCGCCTTGGCACTACTTCTTTCCTCACCGTCTTACCTCCTGATCGCGTTGAATTACATCAGTCAACTCAAAGTGTTGGCACCGGAATTTGTGAGTCATTTCTCTCTGTCTGTCTGTTTGTCTGTCCGTCTTGCTTTGTGTCTGTGTCTGTGAACATAAGCTGTGTGATCCCATCAGACCACAGTTCTTTGAAGCAGTCCCTGAGTATGATGATTTTAGCCACAAAGTTTGGGGGAGATTGGCAGATGCAGAAACGTTTACTTCTTAGCCAAGAAACGGGTGTTCTTGCTGCTTGGACACCCTGCATCTTGAGTAGCATTTCCAAAGACTCAGTTGAAGTGGGCGCGCCTCCTTGTCCTAATCAGAGCGTATGACAGATTTAAAATTCGTGTGTTTGAACGATTCACTTCAGCATGATCTTTTAAACGTTTTAGGCGAAGATGCATTGGGGGAAATGAAACAGGTATCAGGTTACGGAGTTACCCTAAACAACCCGACAGCTCTGGTGCGCTTCTGAAGTGTCAGGATCTCCAGACAGGGATTCAGGGCCGTGGCTGTCCGGTACAAGAAGGACAATTGAGTTGATTTATACACTCTTCTGCATACCGATTTGGTATCGAAGGGGGGAGACTCACCCGGAACTCAGCTGAATATCTCGTCTACGGTTTTCTTATGAGTAGCATATTAAGTCTATACAGTGTATCGCGATATCTGGAATATCTTACCAACCGAAACATTAGACAACCTGGTGCAGCACAAATAAACGTTTAAGAGCCCCCCAAATGAGGAACTCAGCTGATTTGTAGGTGAGTTTCTTGTAAAAAAGACAAAGTGAAATGCAAATGAGTGTATGTGTCAAATTTCGTGTAATTTGGGTTCAAGTAGAACATAGTGTTGACATCTAAACGGAGACTGCACCTACCTGATGAGCCAGTCCCAAGAAAGGCGAAAACGGTCGTGGGCTGTCGAAGAGTGTTCAGCAACCATGTGAGTAGTCGCCCTTATGAAAATATACTGCGATATATCGCACATCGTACCAACTGAAACTGACGGCCTGTGTGCAACATATACAGTTGAAGAATATCATAAACGGGGAATTCATTTGTGTCTCCCGTGAAAACCAAATCGATTTACAAATGAGTTTATTTGTCAAGGTCATAACTATTGTTTTGTGTATCTGTGGCTGTCGAACTGGATTGCAGTTGAAAGTAGACGGTGCGAAAATGTCCTGAATTGTAGTTGTCAAAATCAGTTCGATTTGTGTTCAAGTAGGACATAAGGTTGACGCGTACTCGGAGACTGCGCCTATCTGATGAGCCCCAAGAAGGGCAAAACTGGTCGTGATCTGCCGAAAAGTTTTCACAACCTCACGAAGGAGGGCATCATAAGAACAATCGATCTTCTTGCTGCAACCGTAAGGTCGACCTTCACTATAGTGCATTCTTAATATACTCGAGTGTTTTGCTGACACAGTCTCAGTAGTGCTAGAAGTCTGTTCCCTGACTCCAGGTAAAACTCCGTTGTGGACGATAAAACACGCCATTTCGTCTGAAAGATATGGCTCGCTGCCACAAAAAATACTTAGGAACACAACTAATTCTGACGTTACTGGGACTTATCCTATGGATGTAGAGAAACCACTAGGAGTACCCTTTTGAGTTCAACACGACGTATCGGATAAGTTGAATAAACTTTACTTCATGTTACCGCAAAAAGACTTCAAGTTCCCAATGAACAGAACCTTTATAGACTTGCTTCTGAGAAGATTAGTCTTAGTTCAGATGGTATCTTGACTGACTTGGAGGGAAATCCCTTCTACCACATTAAATGAACTTACACTGACTTTGAGGCAAGGCATGGACAGTCAAATGAGAATAGACGACATGCTAGCACTCTAACCCAAACTCGCTGTGAATAACCGTTTGATTGTCAGCTGTTAGGCTTGCCAGTCACGTGATTTCTTCCCTGAAATCTGTTGTAGTCATCACCACCCTTTTAGGTCAAACAGACCTGGGAAGCTCATCGGCTCATAGTGATCAACCTTACAAGACGCCAAAACTGAGTACAAGAGATTTTTTATAACAACATTCGACAAAGTGTCTATGGGTTCAGACATACGTACTAATGGGAGATGGCTCAAAATACGCAGACAGCACAGAACCAACTTCTAGGACACGTCAACCAACCGTAGTCTCAAATTTCAACGTAGCAAGGGACTCCAGGAACCCCTCGGGTCTTCAGATCTGGCGGCTCCATAGTGTACCTGACTTCCGATACAGTCGCTTGTTTGTCTCGTGAATTCACTGTATCAGTAATACATCATGGGAAGATGTTACAAATACATGCATACCGCTAGTTCTAAGAGCAACATAATTCCTGAAAAGCTCTTGACCTTCCTTGGCATTACACACAACCCTATACCTCAATGAATCCTCTTGGAAGCGGTACAAATATTCCTGATTGGAAGCTTTCCAGCGCCTTTTTTTTCCGGTTGAACGTGTAGTGTGAGGAGTATTCCATCCTTTCTGCCTACAAACAACTCCTATCCAACGATACTTTCTGTAGCGTATAACATGTGTTCGTGCACTGCAATCAAGATTGCTGGGCTACTCGTCCTGCCACGATGCGACCGAGTTCGTCAAACATTTTAAAGAACAATCGATCTTCTTGCTGCAACCGTAAGGTCGACCTTCACTATAGTGCATTCTTAATATACTCGAGTGTTTTGCTGACACAGTCTCAGTAGTGCTAGAAGTCTGTTCCCTGACTCCAGGTAAAACTCCGTTGTGGACGATAAAACACGCCATTTCGTCTGAAAGATATGGCTCGCTGCCACAAAAAATACTTAGGAACACAACTAATTCTGACGTTACTGGGACTTATCCTATGGATGTAGAGAAACCACTAGGAGTACCCTTTTGAGTTCAACACGACGTATCGGATAAGTTGAATAAACTTTACTTCATGTTACCGCAAAAAGACTTCAAGTTCCCAATGAACAGAACCTTTATAGACTTGCTTCTGAGAAGATTAGTCTTAGTTCAGATGGTATCTTGACTGACTTGGAGGGAAATCCCTTCTATCACATTAAATGAACTTACACTGACCTTGAGGCAGGGCATGGACAGTCAATTATTCACGAATGAGAATAGGCGATACGCAAGCACTCTAACCCAAACTCGCTGTGAATAACCGTTTGATTGTCAGCTGTTAGGCTTGCCAGTCACGAGATTTCTTCCCTGAAATCTGTTGTAGTCATCACCACCCTCTTAGGTCAAACAGACCTGGGAAGCTCATCGGCTCATAGTGATCAACCTTACAAGACGCCAAAACTGAGTACAAGAGATTTTTTATAACAACATTCGACAAAGTGTCTATGGGTTCAGACATACGTACTAATGGGAGATGGCTCAAAATACGCAGACAGCACAGAACCAACTTCTAGGACACGTCAACCAACCGTAGTCTCAAATTTCAACGTAGCAAGGGACCGCTCGGGTCTTCAGATCTGGCGGCTCCAAAGTGTACCTGACTTCCGATACAGTCGCTTGTTTGTCTCGTGAATTCACTGTATCAGTACTACATCATGGGAAGATGTTACAAATACATGCATACCGCTATTTCTAAGAGCAACATAATTCCTGAAAAGCTCTTGACCTTCCTTGGCATTACACACAACCCCATACCTCAATGAATCCTCTTGGAAGCGGTACAAATATTCCTGATTAGAAGGTTTCCAGCGCCTTTTTTTCCGGTTGAACGTGTAAAAGTGTAAGGAGTATTCCATCCTTTTTGCCTACAAACAACTCCTGTCCAACGATACTTTCTGTAGCGTATAACGTGTGTTCGTGCACTGCAATCAAGATTGCTGGGCTATTCGTCCTGCCACGATGCGACCGAGTTCGTCAAACATTTTACAGAGGCCTCGCAAATGACGTAAAGTTGTCTAGCCATTTTGACGCACCAGCAATTGACAAGGCGATCAAAAAGGGACACAACTTCTGTTTCATTTAGAATATAATCATTTACCAGTGGGTACCAGCGCTTCTTCTGGTCGGATCTGCAGCCCTGGTTAAACTTCTGGTGGTGCGCAGTGAGTACTGGAACAACCACGGGACGTACAGCGGACAAGAGAAAGTCGGTCAGCGACGTCTGTATGCTTTTCTGGTGGTCAGCATCTTGCTTCTGCCATCTCTGGGCGTGAGTGGGTGAGTTCTTTTGAAACTGAAACAAAATGCAAAAACATTTCAATCAAGCATCTTAGACAAGGGATTTTGCAAGTGAGACCCGCGAAATTCTGCAAAATCGAAGCGTTACTTATTCATAGTCAGTCATCAGGCCGCATCTCAAAACTTCAGAGAGGTGGAAGAGTTGCAACCTCATGAAGGAGCTTTCAATCGAAGCGGCGTAACCAAATTACGAATAAACCAGTTCAAATATAGTTCAAATATAGTTCAAATATATAGGACCCCCATAAACTGCGTGAACCAGAATTGACAAGCTACCATGTGGCGTCTGGGCGAACAACCAGACTACTCATTTTCGAAAAAGCTTGCTGACAATCGGTAGATTTATTGCTGGGCCACGTTTGGCTTTCGACACAAAAGCTTCGTCAAGCCAAGTGACTAGGTTCCGAGTTTGGTCGAGATTAAAGGCAGGAGGAGAACCAATCAGCTAAGTCAAGCTAAATCTTTGTTGGCCGAGGGATTTTAGTGTGTTAGAGTGGTTGAACAAGTGTTGGGTTGGTGGGGAAACCTACATGTGTTTGGGTCCAGCCTAGGATGTAGTTCTTCTGGTCCGGTTCATTTGATGGTTCCTTTTGAACTTCGTTTGAACCTTCTATCGGTCTGCGTGGGTGAGCTAGTGTCAAGAAAGTTGTGTAAGAGGGATGCTGTGACCTTTGGTCGGTTGGGGTTTCCACCCCTACACCCCGGTTTTTTCTAATGGTTCTAAGTGGATTGACAACCACACCGTCACGTGTCAATTAGGCTTATCTAAGACCGCTTTCCATACGCTCGCTAGCTCCACACCCTCGGTTCTATTCACGCTGTAAAGCTTAGTAATTTCCACCGCCCCGGCTATCAGCCGCTGTGTTGTGAATCGCAGTCACCGTCTTAAAACTTCCACATTCTCCAGATCTATTCTATGTCCCGTGTCTAAGGCATGTACCGCCATCGCTGAGTCCTTGACCAGCGTTTGGTATTCTTCTGCATCCCTTGGTGGTTTGTTAATCCTTCTTTTATGCTCACCAATTCTGGTGTGCAATTCCTTGGCAGTTTGTCCTAGGTAAACCTTAGCGCAATCGTTGCAGTTAATTTTGTACACACAGTCCCTAGTCCTTTCAGCCGGCAGTGCAATAATATAAATATTTCGAAATTTCCCATTTACAGTAAGACCACGGATGGGTTGACGAACATGTTTTCGGCAAGTCATACAATTGCAAAGGTTAAGAGAGTATGGTGTACATGGGCCAGAAAACCGAGTGAGAAACGACATTGGCTACCTATCAAACAACAATTAGTTCAAGTAACCAATAGGGTGATTCGAGCTTGTCAGTACGGGCAGTTCTGTGGTTGTGTTCAGTAAACGGTGTAAGTCTGGGGGAGGTGAGTTAGACCATGGCAAGTATAATACACCAACAGAGCGTTTTTGCGGACAAAAGAATCCGGTAGCGATGTCGTATGGCGATAGCTTCAGCCACTGCAATGGTGTGCTGCTGTACTGATCTGGATTGGTTAGCTGGTGCCTTGTAGACAATGCGGAAGCTTTGGCTGGGTATTACGTTGTGATCCATGTGTGCTAGGTGTTGTACTACTGATATACTACTGGTTATCGTCTTCCAAGCTCCAGAAGCTAGCCAAGGTGGATTGGCTGAGTTGCCTGCTCGAGCGTCCGATGAATTCCGCTGCAGAGCAGCAGAAGAATGAGTACACTAGCACATTGTGGGCATTCAGTCTTTGAGACAAAAGAAGCACAGACAGTTGCGGGTTCAGTGTTGCGACCGGGAAATTTAAATTTTTCTTTGGAGCCCTCATCAGTGCAACGGCCGTTTAGCCCTCCATCCTTTAGTCATGAACTGGGCACTTGCATTCCCGTTTGGCGGGCTCACCTGTTGGAATGCTTCGGGCGATGATCAGTCGGTAAGTGAGACCATTTAATCATTTGATCCGAGCGAGAACTTGACTGGGGCAGCATCTTGCTTACTGAGTCACTGTAAACTTTGATCGAAAGCAAAACATGTTAGCGACAGAAATGATTTTTCTAGTTTTGATGCGTATCGTAAAGGAAGTTTATCGAATCTGCGTCGTGATTTATGCCCCAGCAAATGTTCCCTCCAGGACGATTTCTTGCTATTTTCACTTCTATTTCCAGAGTTCCAGCCATTTTGCTCAAGATATTCAACTCCAGTTTGCCGGAAGGGGCCAAGTTGCGAATAGAATGCATCTTCTTGCCTGACAGTTCGGTCCTGTTCATCAACTACATAATCACTTGCTCACTGTTGGGAAGCGGTTTGACTCTGATGCAACTGGATCGGATATTTCTCTTTCTCGTGCGACGTTGGAGCTGTTGCATCCACTCCTCGGCTGAAGCAGAATGTCTGGCGCGGGTAAGCCAGTGCGCGTTTTTTTTAGTTACAATTATACTGGTGGTCATTCAGCGGATGTGGTTGAATCAGTCCTCGAATGTTCATGATGTGTCTTCAAGTGAAGACGTGAGGTTGATCAAATGGATTTTACAGCTATCGTGTAGACAACAGTTCATGATTCACTCGACCCGTCAACGAAGATGTAAGGGATCCAGCCCGTAACAATCCCTACCTTGTAATAATTTACAACCTGGAAAGACAATTAAATAGATAACTTGATGCTGGCAAGCAATTTCCAGTCTCCTCATGAGTTGTAGCAGGGTACGTCTGCATACTTTTTGGAGCAAACTTACGATTTTTTTTACAAGCCTCTGCTCAGATTTTCGTTTTCTTAGGACAATCAGTATCACTAAGACGTGGTGAAAAATCTCCGAGCTATCTGTTCTACAGAATTCTGGAAATCATAGCTCATTCCTCGACAGAGTGCACACAAATGGCAGTAGGGTTTGATTCGTGTCGAGTGGATACCGATTTCCATACTGGTACTGGTGCTGTTCAGCTGTTGAAACATTTCGGTTCCCAGCTGCTATGTCACCCGAAGTTGAGAGGCAGAGATCAGGTCGAACCATAGACCTAACGGTCAGTGAGTTCGCGCTCTAACCACTGAGCCATCTCGCGTAGAAAAAGCCTGACAGTTTTTTAGCTGAAAGCGATGTTTTGAGTAGGCCAGTTTTCTTCTCTGACGAAGCTCATCGTTCCTCAAAAACAGTGGCAAAGTCTGTCACTTCGGGGAAGTGAAAGTTGTGTAAGGGGTTTCCGCCAACTAGTTTCATTAGTTCCCATTTTATTTCGCCTGGTTTTTACGTTAGTATGCAATTTGTCCGTTTCTGACACTGAATGCGTTGACTAACGTTTACCAAACCATGTAGGCGTATGAAGTTTCATTCTGTCGACCTTTGTTTGTCAGCGATTATCCCGTGTGAAGTTTTAACTATAGAGAAAAATCGACGCAAGGATCTCTTCGTCATATGCACAACAGAGCAGTCAGTAAGGAAAATATCAGTTTTATTCCAAAAATATCCAGATGAATGATTAAATAGAAGGCAGATGAATGATTAAACAGAAGGGTGGAAAATCAGGTCTTTGTCCGGAAATCGAAGACCTAGGAGGATCAACGTTCATGGTCACAGGTTTACTCCAGCAACTGACCTACTGTAGATCAACGGAGCAGTTGATGCCGCTTTCAAGTGTGATGAAGCCCGCATCTGTAGCCTAAATTATACCCGAATTGGACTGTCTTAAGTGTGACAGTGTGACATTACTGAGTAGTGAGGGTACATTGGTTTACTCCAGCAACTAACCTACTGTGGATCAATAGAGCAGTTGATGCCGCTTTCAGGTGTGATGAAGCCCGTATCTGTAGCCTAAATTATACCGGACTTGGACTGTCTTGAGTGTGACAGTGTGACATTACTGAGTAGAGCACAGTAATCCGGAAATGAACAGTCGACTGAAACGGAAAACAATCTGCTCCAGGGATGTTATTTCAAGAACAAGTGCTGTTTAGTGTGACCATGCTGCAGTAGCTTCTCAGGCAAGGAATCAAACTGAGTACACATCTGAGTATCGCCTCAAAACCCCGCGTGGATGTTTAAAGTCATCCTGGTTTGCTCGCTTAAGTGGGTGTCTTGATCTTTCGCCCACTCGATTTCCCCTAACGATTTTCAAGCCTGTAATCATCTCAACTCAACGAAATCGTCAATTCTGGTGCATGCGATCGACACCACGTGAGGCATTATAGCCATGAAGTCCCTCAGTGATAGAAACCGTATCGAAATTTCCAACGTTTTGCATCTCCCAGAGTTTTATTTTACACACACACTGGAAATACAGCCCAACTCAAAGAAAGGGGCGGACATTTAAGAAAGTCCGATGAACATTACCGTAGAACTCGAAATTTTACAATTGAAATACATGTGAACCTCATAAACAAGAGATCCAGGTGAGTCTCATATCAGAACCAAATTAGTCTTCAAAATGGGCGTATTTGTGATATGCTACTTGTCTTATTAAGTAGCATAAACGAAAATGAGTCTCACTCAGAACCAAATTAGTCTTCAAAATGGGCGTATTTGTGATATGCTACTTGTCTTATTAAGTAGCATAAACGAAAACATGACTGCGACTAGTAGTGGCATCAGACAATCCTTAGTATTTCAAACAGGTAGTCGTAGAGGCTAGAATACTCAATCATGCTGTTCCCAACATTTCCGACCCTTTGAACTGTGTAACTGTATCAGTGTTGCTGTGAAAGAAAACCTTTAACTGAGGTTGCCAGGTCTTGGCTATGTTTATAGCACGTTCAAAGCTTCTGCTTGATTCTGTTGGGGTCGTCAAATACATGGTTGTGTCAGCCCCATCTCTGCTGTCGGTAGTCAAGTTAGAACAGTACTGTAGAAAGAAAATGCTTATATTGCTCTGTTTCGAGCACACAAGTGATATGAAGATTAAATGTGTGGATCCTGGCGCTCCTCGACAACGTCCATCAAAGTTCAACCTGGCCCCTGTGAATTTCGTGAATTCCGTGTGAAATCAGTGTTCATTCGCCTGTTCACCTACACTCTGCGTGTGTCAAACTGCTTTATTAAATCCATGGGTTTTAAGAAACCTAGCCTATTATTATTCACTAATAAATGATATTGATCGAAAATGATTCCGCAAAGTAGAAACACGGCGCCGTATAGCTTGTGTTGGCTTCATGGGACCAAACTGGAAACTTGTTTTATCTGCTTATTCCGCAAATAATTACTGGTTTCCATAGAACTTTGAAAAGTAAATTCACACGCGGAATACGCCATATTCAGATGTCTCTTCTTGAGGAGATTTTGTGAACAGCCGATGGCGAAAGCATGGTGCAGGTGGTGGCTATAAAGAGAAAATACAGATATTTATCAGTCTGGGAAACAAATAATCTCTCGAGTGAAGATCCGGAGTAATTAACCTGTCTCGGCAAACCCATACGAGTACGGTGGAAACCTGGGTCCTCTGGACAAAAAGCCCATTTTCAAGCTGCCGCATACAACCGTGGTATGTTGATGATGTCAGCCACTTTTGATCATATTTGACACGTAGCAAAGTGGTTCAAAACCCTTCAATTAGATTTTGTCGGCATAAACCAGAGTGCTGGATCATGTTCCTAAGCACCACATGAAGGAATCACACGAAAGGTGAAAGAAGTTTGCTTTTAGTTTAGTCCGGGGAACCCTGGTGCTCGCCTTATCAGTACCAAGGGCCAGAAACATTGGTCATGAATTGGAACGTTACGGACGAGGAAGATTTATTCGTTGACGTAGTTTGTGAGAAACTCACTTGTAATCCCCTAAACTGTACCGTTTTAACATAGGAGAACGCCGGACCGTTCCCGTTCCGTGAACGCTACGCCTCGATGATGTTGATCCAAACAATCGCAGTAGCCTACGCCCCGATCGCCCCCATCATCATACCGTTTGGGATGCTGTACTCTCTGTGTGACTACTGCACGTGTAAGTACGCCCTCGTACAGATATATCATCCAGATTGGAGAGAAGATGGTCGCGGAACAAGGTAAGATTTTTCCAATAAGGCCATGTAACCTTTGAGTGTATCTTGTTCTAATGACTTTGTGCTAGCCAAAGGGGATTTCGTGCATTCAGCTGTCAAGAAAATGATTCGGAACTGTTTAACTCGTCATGTGGTTGAGGCGGATAACCGAAGCACTGTCGCTGTTATCGTTCACTCCATCAAAAGCCTGCCTCATCCTACTAATGACTAGTGCGTGTCCTTTTAAAAACTAGTCGGAGTTTCATTGATACGCTTGCCAGCACACCTGAACACTAATGCTGGTATCCGATTGGGAAATATATTCTTCCAAGTTGGCCTTACATGTCGCTTCCGTTGAAGTAAATTTATTTGTTTACCTAAAACCTTACCTTTGTCTCCATTATATGACACAGACCAACAAAAGGTCGGTGATGAGTTCCGCTGGACTGAATCTTCTTCGAGGTTTGATTTGGTTTATCTGGCCTAGAACATTGTGAAGTACCTCATTCCCAGTGCTATTTTGGAATTTCATGTCAAATACCCGAAAACAACAGTACTGGGCCGATACTGTGACCTTAGGGCGCTTTACATTTTCCACCAGTAAGCAGCATAATTTTTAGCTTCTATGAGTACCAAGTTAATGATCAATAGGCAGGAATCTTAAGTGATATGTTGAAGAACTTGTTATTTTAAACTTAATGAAACTGAATCGAAATAGATTGCCTCACTAGCGTTTGCCACACCGTAGAAGATATTTGTTCCGATAGTGAGGGGAAGATCATGGTGCATCAGAAGATGTATCGCAATGTATATGCGTAATGCACTACTTATAAAGTTGCTGAAAACTGCTCGATAGCCCAGGATCGGTTTCGCCTTTCTTGGGGCACACCAGGTAGACGCAGTCCCCGGGTTTCTGTCAGCCACATTGCACGAAGTTGGTGAACTACACACATTTGCAGACGAATTCAGTTTTGCGGGAGACTCACCTTGAACCTCGTTGTATTTCTCGTCTCTGTTTATTTGACTGCAAATATCACAAACGAGAGATTCAACTGGGTTTCAGGTGAGTCTCTCGCAAAACCCAATTTGTTTGCAAATGAGAGTGTTTCGCTGTATCAGGAGGTCTTGGCATACCCCTGGACCATACCGAGTACGAATCAACAGCCAGACTGCTCTAAACAATAAACGGATGAACAACCATTCGCCGATCAGGATTTCGCTCGCAAACTTTACGGCAAACCAAATATATGATATGTGACGAACTAAGCTTGCTTGATACTATAAAGCCTAGAGTTTTGAAAATGACATTGCGACCTGAGTACATTTCTTTACTCATTCTTCTGACTGTCGATAAACAGTGTTCTGTGTGACGTTGAAAAGATTCATTTGTGCCGTGCCGATCGATAATAAGTAGGCGGCCAAAAATAGTCACCTCTGGTCAAGTTGTGTTGCATTCCTTGGAGAAAAACGAAACCGACAAACGGCGGGCTGTAGGCACACAAACAAATTTGTCAGAACCTGCGAACCAAGACGGAGTGAAATTAACCATGAATGTAAGGGACAAATTTGTTTAAAAAATCGATTATGTTCAGAAGCGACGACCTGGAGTTTATAAGGCTAACACGTGCAGATGTGACCTCAGAAGAAAGCAGACAAATGGTGCATATCAAATAATACGCGACACCCAAAACCTAGTATCGTAGGTTCTTTTCTGAGAGCCTCTTGCAGTGTTACCCTGCTGGTTACTGCTCCCCATGGGAAGCAAAATTTTGTAAGATCTGCCTGAAACAAGAGCCTTAATAGATTATGATTTTTGGTTCTTGTAAAAATTGAGTGAAGGACTGCGGAGTTCAAAGTTGGTCTTCACTGGAAGATTGATCAGTAATCTTTGTAAGAGGTTCTTATGCAAAAGGGATGACGTATTTCGCTAATGTATGTGAAACATAACAGAAAATATTACAGAATATTGGGTGATGTAATTGTCTTCGGGAAAAGATGAAGGTAGCATTTGGGATTCATCACTCCCAGAGAGAAAATAACTGAAAGATCAATGGTGATAAACTGACCTCACATATGGAGTGCGCGAACAGAGGTTGCGACTTGAACTGGTTGGTCTTATCCATGAGATATATCCATCACAGTTATTTTTCAAATGAAACCAATAGTGTTAGGTTTCGAATACTTCGCCATTTTGTCCTAAGTGTGATATTAAGTGATCTATTAAGTGACATTACTAGAGAGTGAGCAGTAGTCCTAGCATGGACGAATATAGCCTTGCGGACTGACTAGTTCGGAACACTCACCTGTGGTCGCCGACAGTAACGAATAAAGAATTTGCCTCAAGAGGTGTTCCGATATCCTTTGAGAAGGGCGTACATCGTGTGAACCGATTAGGATGCCACCAAAACCGTCAATGGTCTGAGGAATATCGTGAGAGATTGGGTGATCCGGTTATACCCTGGGCCTGGTTCGAAACTTGTGAACTTAAAGGAGATAGGTCAAATGCAACTGTGGATAACAACTTGAAAATACGATCGCCTTTACAGTAAAACTCTGTTCAGGTCTGTACTTTATGAAGGTTTGTGATTTCCAGTGTTACTCTCGAAACGAGTCGACGAAGGTCGAGGCATCTAATGCTCACAGATCATTGTCAGATAATCGGTTTCTAGGTCTTCCTGAGCTTTCCTTCATTCGATGCCTATAAGAGTAAGGCAGCAGAAGCTTCTCTCACGAAAACTATCACTTCGATCTATCCACCTACGCTGGGATTGACCCCACAAACTTCACCTATAAAAATCAATATATTATTGAACTGTACTACCGCATTTTTACCATATTGTTTGCTTATAAGTGGGGAACTTTTGATGTTTAAGCTTTTTGTTGTTTGGGGAAGGAATCACATAAATGCTTCTGTGGAGATAGTTCTTTTCGGATAAAAACTCTTCGGGAATAAACCATCAGCGATTTGTTACTGATACCTATACATGTTTACTGTCCTGTGTTCAGGCTCGAAACGCCAGATAGAGGAGGCCCTGACAACCAACTCTATCGTCTCACCTGGTCTATCCAAGCAACGCTAAATGGACTTACCGGAATATGCCTGGCGGTGTTCAATCTATTCGTTTTCTTCGTTCTGCGCGTCCGGATCGAACAAATGCAACGTCCCCTACTTGCCTACCTTATGCTGTGTGTATTCACTCCACTGGTTTGTGTCTTCCTTTCGGTGGTAGTTACCCATCGCTTGGTACGGCTGTCCTACTGGTGTGAGCGTTACTCACGGCCACATGAACTGGACTCCTATCCGGTAAGCGTTATTCAATGAGGCTAGTTTCTAGGGCCTTGATAGCTAACCTGCCTTTTACTACCGAAAAACTGACTAAATGGTGTACGTAGACACACAGTGTCACAGAGGAAGAACAGATCAACTTGGTCATTTTGACGATATCACCATGACTGATCGAGTTCCCAGGCAATCCAAACGTAAGTTGCTTCACAGATTCCTTGTGTTTGTCAGCCTGGTAAGATTGACTGAATGAACAAGTGAGAGTCTGCCTTAGCTTACCTCACAAAATGCCTATCCTACAAAACCCCAAATCTGCAACCAAAAAGTTGCCCACTGGTTTTCAAGCGTGTGTCACACGACCTGACTTGGAACTCCTGACTGGCGGGTCAATCGATCGTCACAACCAAGTCGTCGTTCGGTGAGTCGGACACACCAATCACATCGCTCAATTGTGAACACGTTCGCCTCTTCAGACGTGATAATTCAGATGCACCCAACGTGCATTGGTGGAGTAGTGGTTACACGCTCGCCTCGCATGGCATGCCAGAGGGGTTCAAATACCGGCACGGTCATTGGATATGCACTCCTGATTCTCTCTAATGAGAGAGAAACTCGAGTCCAGTGCTTTCCTTTGGTGTCGACTCACCAGAATAATTACGCCAGAACAATAGGACGATCGTTCAAACGACAGTGGTGTGACTGTGCGCAAAATATCTATCCCACAAAACCCCAAAACTGTATCTGAATTACTTTGATAGTGCGAGGGCGTGTAAAAACGAGTACATATGTAACCCACACGGCCCCAGTGATGAAACATGTGTGCATAGGCAAGTTGAAGGCAACCGTCCAGAAATGGGAACTAATGAAAATCACGCCGTTATTCGTATGGATGCTGGAAAATTAATTTCATGAAAAAACTGATCATCTTTGGTAAATCGCCTGAAGTTGTCAACCATAGGCCATATGTACAACCGTGAAATGTTCTTAGATCAGGTGTGTCTGCCCATGACACAGTATAATACTACTGAGTAGTACTATTCAACTAGGTAACCCGACACTGTCGAATAAACTCTGTCGTATTTGGTGATGAATCTGCAAGTTTAACCGGAGAGAGAACTTTGTATTGAATCTATTTAACCGCCAGAATTCTGCTCTTTTTTATGGTTCACCATACTGTGATGTTATATTCCCTTATGCCTTCATAGGGACCGGACCATCCGTCCCACTCCAACACCCAGAGAGCATATACAAACCCACTGCTGAGGCCCAAGATTTGAAGCGCGGATCTCAAGGATTGATCTCTTTATCTACACACCCTACTCTTTCACATTATTTGACCAAACGAAACTGGTATTCACGCAGATTGTGAATGACTATCTTTTCATCGGACCATTTGGCTTTCGATATTGGCTTTTTCCTACTGTTTTTTCATACTTTGTCAAACGTCTTACAGTTTCAGAAGTTCCTTTGTGTGGCGAATCTTTGAAGTCCGTTTGTGTTTGGGAACATCCAATCAGTGGATGGTTTTCGAGAAAGTTCACTCACCCTGGATAGATCAGCCGCCCACACTCAATAGGTTACGCTTGTTGGACCCTACACTTCGTGTGTAAGAGGACCGTTTGTCTCGTACAGTCCTTTTAGGCTGGCCTTGTATCTGATCGAGAAGGACCACAGGCGGTCAGTTCATGACTTGTCATTTGTGCAGGAAGAACATCACTACTCAACTAAGTCGGGTTGGTAAGTGATATCCCCTTCACGCAAACTACGGGTGGCGGTCTCGTATCAAATCTACATAGTTCTTACTTCTTGGCATACGGGCTAAAAGAATCACTGATTCCGAACATTTGATAAGGTCATCATCGGAGATCAAAGTGTTTCAACTCAGCATATCTGTGCATGACTTATGAGCTGGAAAAAAATGAACCATACAGTTGTATGCAGCGTACTTCTCGCGCAAAGTTCCCAAGCTTCCTTATCAGATCGTAACCAATTAAGGGACTCATATGTTCGATGTGGATGGTATATGCACTAGAGGATGATGTAACACACTACTCATAAGTTTGCTGAAAATTCGCCGACAGTCCACGACCGGTTTCGCCTTTCTTGAGGCTCATCAGGTAGGCGCAGTCCCCGAGTTTCCGTCAAATGTATGTTCTCCTTGAACTCAAATTGCGTGAAATTGGCGAAATGCACTCATTTGCAAATGAATTCGGTTTTGCAGGAGGCTCACCTGGAACCCACCTGAATCTCACATTTATGAGACGGCCTGGTGCAGCACATTCAGTTGCTTAAAAACACCATCAACTGGGCTCCAGGTAAGTCTTTCGTAAATATCAAATTTCTTTGCAAAAGAGTATATCTGAAAAGTATACATGCTAGGAATCGAAATCTTTCGCCCAATAGTTATTGTGCAGAGGAGTCTCTTTGCAGACAATAAACAGTGAAGACTTTCAAGCATCTTTTTACCATCTGTGTCTTTTGTTTGATAGTAGATTACCTTACCACACTTTCAGCACTCCGTGTAGCTGGATTAAAGACAAACTTGGTCAACTATATTGAATTGAGCAGCCAAGTCAAATGTGGCAGCCCGAAAACTGAGCTCAGCTCGAGTTTCGTCAAGCCTCTCACGAGTCCGGTAATCTTCGTGGACAAAGCATCAAATATCATTCTTGCGGCTAAATTGAAAGACCAAAAGGTACTACTCCATTGGGACAAGCGGAATGCTTGTTATTGCTCTTGCACGGCTTAGTTTCCCGGAGTGCACTGCGCTCAACTAGTGTTGCAATTAACTGCCATCCCAGTTCCAGTGCCTTTGCGAACAAGCGAGTGCATCGCGGTATTCGGAGCGCAATTTTTTTCTGCCTCGAATCCAGGCTCCACAATCGGCATTGGATGAATGACCATTTTCGTCGGCCGTGCTTCTGCATGAGCATTGAACATCGTCGGAATTTGCTGTACTAGACCGTTCAGTCGGCAGTCTCCCCAATCGGCATTGGATGAATGTCCATTTTCGTCGGCCGTGCTTCTGCATAAGCACTGAACATCGTCGGATTTGCTGTACTAGACCGTTCAGTCGGCAGCTGGTTTTTCTGACCAGGAGACTTGACGGTTTCCCCACACTAAGCGGTTAGATGACGAGTGGATGATTAATAGGTTAATTAGCTCAGCCATCCTTCAATCGCCTAAGCTCAATGGTCATTCGGTTTTGCTGGTTCATTGCGCATCAACGAACTAAGCGTCTAACCCCGCTCATCATACAGGTCGGGGTTTAAGTCCAACCAACCAATTAACATATCGATAACGACGTATTAGGGGTGGTGCCAAATGGGATCCCGCTAACCAACACAGTCAAGCAGGTGGATGTAAGTAAAGTCCATCCTAGAATTACTTGAACTGCCGTTTGGCCAGGCCTATTGACCGTTAGTTACATGCGGACCAACGTGCGCCTACATGTGTTGGTTTGCCAAGATTCACCCCGAGCTTTACTTCGGTGATACCTACAAGCATCATTAGACCGCATCGTAATGTGTTCAAAGACCTATCAGGTTGCAGACTGTCACCTTAGCTTCCTGTCCCACCAGTAAGCAGTAACACGAATGTCACACGTTTGGACGTGTCCAGCTCGTGACTATCACAAAATCCGCGAACAAGACGGCCTAGTCAACTGCATCTCTCAGCTGTGGAATTCGCCTAATGAGCGTGCGTCCATTCTGAGCATCAGTCGGTCAGTCTTGGTTGACGTGGCTAGGCGTGGAGCGAAGTGGCTTGTTAATCACGTGAAACAATTTGTGCTAATCTATTATTCGTCAGTTAACAGGGCGGTCTAGGAGATAGCACAAAAGAGTAAGTAAACTTTCGGAAATATCCAGCTGCACTTGTTGTGATTGATGCTGGTTAGAAAATGTTCAGATCACATGTCTGGTCTCGAGTGTGTTGGTGTCTTAAGCCTGCCTGCAGTTAAACTGCAATCCAGAGGCGATTCGCCTTCACAGACTCGTTCACAGTAAACACTGGCGCTAGCTGGCTTAGCTTACGATTCGCGATTGGGTGAACACAATATCGCTCTGAGTGCACACATTGAAGGCGTTTGTCTCCGGATCGTCTGCTAGTGCTCGGGTTCTGAGGGACTGAGACAATGCGGCGTTTGGGTTGCGTAGGAATGACGGCAAATTCCCAGACTTGTCATACAGGAATTTTGTGGTCTCAGTTTTATTGGGTAGAGGAGAATGATGTTTCGAAAAGTTCTGCACTAATGTCCTACCAGAAGCCACATTATCCTCTCTGACCACATGGAGGAAAATGAGCACGGCCATCTCAGTTCACTGTGTGCTGGAGCAAACTAAGGTGAATATCACCAGGAAATCCGATAACTCATGAAATCTCGCTCCTTGAGGTCGTCTCAGTTTTCATGGACTTAACAGGACCCAGGACCAACAGGTCCTCCGGGAACACTGGAACCTGTCCTACTAACACAGTGGGTTGACTTGTGCATCGAACTATCACAGGGAATCGAATCCAACTCAGCCTGGACAATGAAACAATTTTGTCCTCTTTCAAAACCAGCCACAGATTCGTCCGATTACCCTAAATGTGGGGGATTCCGTTGGATTTGACTGATTTGTCCGATTGGCATAAAATCTTGTCACCCTACTGACTGATAATGTTGCAGTCTAGACGACAAAGTTTACAGCTGTTGCATTCACATTTGCCTCTTTTGACCAGCGGGTCTCCTATCTCGGTTCAATTAATCTGGTGTCGAGCATACCAGTCACATCACTCGAGGGTGAAAAAGTTCACTGACTAAGATATGACCATTCAGGTGCCTTCAATGGTACCCGGCTGAGGACAGTTTTACTTCGCTTGCTTCACATAGTAGATGTCCGGAGTTCGTGTCCCGGCACGACCTAGGTTGTGCACTGGTTGGGAACCCATATACGATTGAAACTCGGGTCCAGCGCTACGCCCAATTAAAATAATGGAGTGGGAAATGACACCAGAAAAAGAGGCAATGTGAATACGAACTCTGCTAGTCTCACAAGGTTATTCAGAATGCGGTTTTTATCGCTTTCAGCCGCGTGGTTGTTAAACGCATCACAAAATCGAAGATAACTATATGTGAAGCTTTCGAAGAGTGGAATCGTATTAGACGTCCTCGAAAACAACTTGAGGATCGGAGTGCAGAAGGGATTGCACCAGATTTAGTTGCTTGAGAGGAGGACAAGCGTAAAATAGCAATCTGTTGGCGGCGCAGAAGCTGAAAAACGTCAGGAACAAAGTGACTAAGTAACGCATCGTCTATGACAAATATTTTCATTCCAACTGGAAATTTGTCTTCCTTCGCCATGTACGTATCGGTTAGATTCATTTTTTGCTGATATTACAGAGCTCATCGCATTCATTTCTGAGAGTCGACCTAACCAGTTTGGATCATACTGGTGTGCCTCCTATCGTGGAATGACTTAAGAAGTGGTGAAGGCACAAATTCCGAGATAATCTGGATCTCATGAAAATGTCATCAGCATCAGCAGCCACGTGATGTAGTGAATGACGCTTTTGAAGTGAATAGGGAACAAGACGTTTCACGAAGTGCTGTGTTGTCCGAACGAACCTATTGTACCTCTACGATAGTTCATAGCGGCGAGAATTACTTGATCTTTCCGTCCACTGTGTGGGACTCCAGAAAAGATGTTTCAAGCGACAGGCTCCTTGCATGCCCAGCTTCTCATGGCTACTCAGAAACAACAGATTGCTATTAGGCATGGAAGATATTACATCACAAATCACTAGGGTACTAGTGATGGGGGCATGCGAGTAGTATGTTTTCCCGTAATTCCGCTTTGCGTCTCTTGAAAAATGAGATCTATTACGGAATTTGTGGAGTCGCCTTGTAGCATTTGCTTGGATTTGATCAACAGTCGATGAATATCCAGGATAGTTTAGGAAGACGCGTTCAAGGGGAAAATGGATATTCAGTTTTCGTAAACAAGATGCATATGAGAGTGTTGCTTCCCTGTCCAATAGTCTGTAACTGTTCAGTTGGCATTTTCTAATAAATAACTCCAAAGCGAAGGCGTTCTTCCCTTCACTAGTATTTCGAAAAACATGAACACTGCATCGTGTCACCTCTGGAAATACCCGGCTACCAACCAGCTAACATGTTGTCATGATTAGTCCGTAACGAGTTGGCCGGTGAATTCTTTCTAGAGGCTGAGAAAAGCTGAAATAGAAACAGTTGTCACCTGCGCCAACCACCCAAAACACATTGGTATTCCAAGTTCACCACAGTTTATTACATTTATTACACAATTGAAACTTTCGTAATACCCGACCGCTTCAGGCTATCGCCAACATTCGGGCTCCAGCTGACAGATCATGGGGATGAAGTGGTCCCGCTGGTCTATTTGCCACACTGAACAGGCATTTACTATGATCCGTAGTGTTTTTTCTGAATTTTGACATAAAATCCCGCGTTGTCATGTGTATGTTGATAAATATATGCGTTAATTTCATCCACCACGCCGCGCCCCATGCACTGGAAGCATCCCAGAATCATACAGCATCTGTTAGGTTTGCCCCGGCTGCCACGGCTCGGTCTGTTCTTCTTGACACGCTTGCCCACCAAGGAATGCCCCGGAAGTTTGTAAACATCATACGTTCTCAGACTTCCAGGCATGCGAGAGTGTACGGAGAGCTCTCCACAAGCTTCCGTAAACAAAGTGGTGTCCGTCAGGGATGCCCACTCTCTCCATCCCTTTTTAACTTTGTGATCGATGAAATGATGAGACGAACGCTGGAGGGTCTCCATAACCCTGGTGTTCAAATAGCCTGCGGAGAAAACCTTGTCGATCTGGAATATGCAGATGACATCATTCTCATATTTGAAGAGGAGGAAAAGGCGCAAGTATTCTTGGATGAACTGACCAAAGTCATCCTGTCCTTTGGTATGCACTTTGCACCCACAAAGTGTAAGGTCACGCTCGTGGACGTGCAGTCACTGAACACGCCACTTACAATCCAAGGAGAGGTACTGGAAGTTGTATCAGCTCAGAGTGTGGTGTGACAGATGAGGTAACCCCACCACCGTCGATGGTCATAGTTTGCCCATTTTTATTTTCGCCAGAACTATTACTTGTCCTCACGACAAGCCACTTATTGTTTTACAGTTTACGTCACGGGGATTCATTTTCTCCAGCTCACCAGATTTGCTGACAGCTGCGTGTAATTGGTGTAAAATGACTGAAGTAGTCTGAATATCCCGTCCAGCCGTTTTCGCCAACTACGAAAAGTTATGTCTATTCGAACCCGTGCACGAATGTCCTTTTAGAGTATGGTATTGTGTACCTTTCTATTTCTTCCATTACAAAATTGCGTATCTCGTCCATTGGTTCAGCGGAGTATGTTGTTGTTGCGCGACACGGCAACTTTCTAAGAGAATACCCGAGCACCTCTGTTACCGGAATACAATCAACCTCAACATTTCAGCCAGGAGCTCAATTGCATCCCACCTAATTGACACTGGGCACGTAGTCGTGCGAAATGAGTAATTTTTTTGTCATTTACCGCGTGCTAAATAGAATGCCAGTATCTATTCAACGGCGTTGCTTGACTGCAGTCGAGGCAGTCGCTATACGCCTGCGAAACCCGGTACTGGGCTGTCAAGAGCGTTTCGTACGAACGCTGAGTCTGCCTTGGTCGTGTGACACCAATCAACCCGCCAAGTCACTCAGCAGCCCTCTTGGTTGTCCCACAGCATCCAACTAGATGCGACATGGGGGGGGGACGCAGACAACCAAACGTTCGTGTCTCCACGGGCGACATAGGTCAACGTCGAACTATTTGAAAAAGAACAATTCTTTGGGGGGTCTGTTCCGTTTGACCTTGTTTATTATTGGCTACTCGGCCTAGCGTTATTAGTTTTAAATCTATGCCACAAAATTCTGATAAAGTAGCTTTCTGAGTAGCCAGACCACTAAAAGAGAAAGTGGCTACATTTCCGGAAAGACCCATGGGGAAGTTGTCCCCATTTTTAACGCGCGCCTGGCCGGTCAAGTTATACGAATGACAGTTTTTATGAAGGTTCATGAGATAGCTGTAGATACGCGAACCGCTTTGTTTTAATGAGAACAGAGTACAATGCACACATATGCGCAGTTCCAAATTTTACAAGTTTAGACACACAAAATTCTGACTGTTCGATACAAACTTGAGAGCATTTAACATACAAATCAGAGCCCATTCACGAACGGCTATTGTTCCTCAGGATTTCGACTCCATTGATCAACCAATCGTTCAGAGGCGGTCCACAGCTTCTCACCAACGCCATCCTGTAGGGCCTGAGAATTCACAGTGGCCAGACGGCATTCGGCATAGTAGCCACCTGGAACCAAGTCTTTGGCCAAACAGCAGTGCAACAGAGTTTGTGCACCCTGCCATGCCGTTTTACTGAATCCCATGTTGTGCACAATCCACTGAGAGAAAAAAGGGGAAAAACAGGTATAACTAAACGGCAAATCGAACATCAGAATGGCCCATCTAACTGCGTACCACCGGAGACGATCAGTGAGGCTTGAAATTATACAGTTTAGGATTAAGCTTCATATACAACCCCAATCCACAGGAAGTGTTTTTGTCCAGTCAGTATGCACCTACAGATACACATTCGGTTGACAATCGAGGGCATTCGAGAGAGAAAGTAGAATGTTCTAAGCACTGTACTGCAGTTAAATCGAAGAATAGTCTCATCGTAAAGGGAAAAAGTTTGGAGGTCTTCGGTATGCACGTTCTCCACAAAATACTTTGAAACAGGGTGTCTCGGACAACTCGGCATCGATACACTGCTGAGGAGTTTCCTCACAGACTGATTACTCCTACAACAACGCCTCCGTTGGTTCAGGTCCTTCAGTGATAGAAGCCACTTCAAGTAGTTCTGCTGAACGGCTGGGCACGTTGCCCACACGCACAAAGTGCAAGGTATTGGTACAAATCCATTAGGGGTCGAACCCCCAAATGGCAGCTAATTAACGGCTGGAGCCGGTCAACTGGTTTGGTCAGCGGGGATTCTATACAAGCGCGCACTGAGGAAGCCGTGATGATTCCACAGCACTCAGTGTAACAGCAATCGATTTCATGCCATGTAGTCACATCGTGGTAGGAACTACTTATGAAAAAGATAGTTCATAGACCTGAAGAATCTGGGCAATTCAAAAAGTTTGATTTCGACCGCACCGAAAGTTTGCCTGTTGTCAGGACAGGTTGACCGCTCGACAAATGAATAGATACAATGTGTTGTTTCAGTCTGAAGTGTACCGAGAAATTGAAACTTTCCGAAGTTGTTTTGATTAACCAAAGGCATCGCGATTGAATTTTGATTGAAAAATCCCATGGGGACCACCACAGGATGGTCCTATTAGTATGGTTATTCCTCCGATGGGAACAACTTCAATTAAGTTGAGAACATTTTTGGGCCTCTAAATTAGCAGTTCCACTGGCAGGAATCGCCCAGAGGAGAAAAGTACTGATTGACACATTTCATTACGTATAAACTGCTCAGGATCGAATACCAGCCCACGTCATATGAGAACTTGGCAACCGCTTCCAAACCTATTTACCACAAAGTGAACAGAGTTTACGTTCCCAAAATATGCATCAATGAGGAATGGGACGCTTGCATCAAATTGAATTCCACTGATGGGAGAAAGTTTTTCAGACTAAACAGGGAGATGTTCTGTCTTCAGTGGGGCTCACTGGAAGCACTTTAGTGGGTTTTTGGTCAATTAGATTCCCATTTAAGTGGATGACTACTGAATAATGACATCGATGCCGGATTGCTCACTCACTGTTGAGTAGTAGTGGACAATCATCATCATCATCATCATCATCAGCATCATCATCATCATCATCATCATCGTCATCATCATCATCGTCATGATCATCATCATCATCATCATCATCAGCATCATCATCATCATCATCATCATCGTCATCATCATCATCGTCATGATCATCATCATCATCATCATCATCAGCATCATCATCATCATCATCATCATCGTCATCATCATCATCGTCATGATCATCATCATCATCATCATCATCAGCATCATCATCATCATCATCATCATCGTCATCATCATCCTCATCATCATCGACAGCATGACATCAGTGTTCAACACCGATGCTTCACTGCCATAATGGATAATCGGGGCATGTGTCGAACTATCAGAGTGCCAGGCTTGACAAGCCAAATGATGACGAACATGCTTTTTTCATTCGAAGAGGGACTCAGCTGAGTTTTCAAATTCACAATTAATATTTACCACATTTTAAGGAGGCGTTGTTGAAAGAACTTCCGAATGGCTAGCGGCGGCTACTGTAAATCAATAGACTGAACCCGATAAAGAGAACACACTGACAGTCGGTTTCAGGATGAACAATATACTACTAACGCCATTTGCAGAATGCGTTGATCACTAATCGATCAAAACGAAATTATTGTTTATATATGTTTTAACCCCATTGTATGATGCGTGCAGTAATCGACACGCCGCTTCCATGCCAGCTTCTTGCTGCACTGTTCATGACCTGTTTGGGACGCTTATGTACGGTTGGATACAAATTTAGGTAGACGAGAGCACCGGGATAACTTCGACGATTGCAAATGATCACGACTGGGCCGATTGTAGACACACTGTTTACGTTTTTGTCAGTTCACTCTGTTGACTGATCTGAGGGTCGGTATTCACTGTGGATGCACACTGCTTCAGCTTCACCAAAACTTACCCGCGTTCGCGTATGAGCGAATTCGGTATGCTGAAATAAAATCGACTCAAGCAAAGCAGTCCAATAAATCAATAACATATACTCACGTGTCTGATAGGATGATGTCGAAAGACCTCGGTCCTCACCAAGCCAGGATGAACGCTGACTGCTATGACATTGGGACCCCAACGTTTGGACAACTCCGAAGCATGAATCACATTTGCCAGTTTGCTGCTCGAATAACATGCACCAGCGATTGGACGTGACAGGTCCTCCGGATTCAGAGTTGCGAACCGATGCCTCAGGGAGGATGTCACGACGATTCGGGCACTGCCAGCAGCATCTAATAATGGGCGGAGTAATTCACTCAACAAGAAATGACCCAAATGATTGACTTTTAACTGCAGTTCGATGCCCGATGAGTCATACTCAGGATCGTACAAATCAATCCCTGCGTTGTTGACCAGGATGCTTATTGGTTCGTTTTTCTGTCGCATGCGGTCGGCAAAACTTCGAATCGATTTATAGGAGGCCAAGTCCAGCAGTTCACACGTGAGCTGTGGAACGGAAATCCGCCATTATGGTTCGATTAGAGCACAGTACACAGAGCTTTAATCATTATTTGATGCTTGAGAATATCTGGCAATTTATGCTCCCGTTTTAAGACACAAAAATCGTACAAAAATCAGCTCAGTTTTGAGCAGCTCTCTCCTTTGACAGCATAATCCGATCTATGGTCTTCCCTTAGCGTGAGATTTTATGATGGCAACCTAAAAATACCAGAAAGATCATAAAAACGAAATGGCCTTGCACTACTTATGAGGTTGCTGAAAACTCTTCGACAGCCCACGACCGGTTTCGCCCTTTCTGGGGCTCATCAGGTAGGCGCACTATCGCGATATCTCGAATGTCGTAGCGACTAAAACATGAAGCGGCCTGGTGCAGCACATTCAGTTGCCTGGAAACATAAAAACCGAGAGATTCAGCTGGGTTCTAGGTGAGTCTCTCAAATGAGTGTATTTCACTAAATGGTTATGGTAAACTCGACAGGTGGAATGCCCGAAATCACGCTGCGTATAATTTTGCTGGTTGGAAAGGATTCCCTTGTGTCTATCGTACCTGTTCTGTTAGAGTTCTACAATACAGATGCCTTTGGAGGGTTTAGTGGACATTTCCAACTTCCCTTAAACAGCTTTACTGAAAAGCGATTTTGTGTTGAAGAGATTTTACGAAGACATTTTGTTAGACCTAGACTTACCCTAATCATGTCGAAGACTGTAAGCAAGTCAAATAAGTGAACTCCGGCGGAACACGCACTCGACACGGGACACAAAATATATTTAGAAAACGTTGAGGTTTTGAGGCTAGGACTACGGTCCACGTCACACAGACTGATCGCCGAGGCGGTAGAAATCGCCAAGCATCCCAGTGTTAACATAATGGAAGGTGTGGAACTGGCAAGCGTGTGGAGAATATTTCTGGATCAGTCGAGCTCACACGTGTTGGTGTGTGGTCATCGGAAGGAAGGGCGGTCATCATCTGAATTCCACTTGATCTCAACCCCCCTCAAACTAAACTGTCGGAGCACTCACGACCCCACGAAGACCAGGGGAAAATTTACCAGTGGCAACCGAGGTGAATCATCAACTGAAGCACCCTGAAGTGAAAACTTAACGAACCAAAACCGATCGGAATTAATTTGCCCCCCCCCCTCAATCCACCAAAGCAAGATTTTGACAACTTCACTAACCGTCAAGAGCCGTTAATTGACACTCAACACTGATCTGGTGTGAAAATCTGGAGAGGACTCACTTACGGATTGGTCTCAAGTCTGCCTTATAACCTGGCCAATTTGGTGACCTGCTCACTTGGCCTGATGAAGCTTTTGTGTCAAAAGCGAAGCGTTGCCCAAATAAAAACTACCGATTGTTTATCAAACTCTCCTGGAACTCCGGTGTTTTTTCANCCTGATGAAACTTTTGTGTCAAAAGCGAAACCTTGCCCAAGTAAAAACTACCGATTGTTTGTCAAACTCTCCTGGAACTCCGGTGTTTTTTCATTGCACTTCTTCGAAGCGGATATCCGGCGCAAATATAGCATGAAAACCTTAGTGTCTAATAACTGCAATAGGCAACACACACACTGATCTGTGCGCCAGGAGTAGTGTCATTCTGACCGCAATCATGGCACCCCAGGTGCCTGTTATCCCGTCGGTGTGCGGTTGAATAAGAAAACACTCCGATCCGTTTTCACAAGGAACAATGCGTCTTCTACCAGTAAAAAACACGACAAGCAGCAGAATTTGACCAGCCACGATTAGCACAGTCCATGATAGTTTTATGAGTAAACTAAAGCTCGGTCGATTGAATAGGGGGATCAGGCGTGTGCACTTTTATCGAAGGTACGTAGATGATATTTTTACGCTGGTATTAAACGGTTCCGAAATGGATGCTCTCCCGACCAGCTTTAACCGAGCACACCCCTCCAATCAGTTCACTTCTGAAACTGAGAGTGACAACGATTTCCACTTCCTGGATGTTAAGTTAGTCAGAGTTTAGAGAGCAAAACTCATTTGCTCTGCTGGTACACTGCACCCTGAACTACAGCACATTGCTAACGTACTCTGAGCCAATGGTTACCCGGAGAGACTTATAACCAAGAATATGTCCGATCGCCCTATCAAGTAGCCTGTCACGACCATTGGGAAGAATACAACATATTTGAGTTTACCGTGTAAATGTGGTCTGTTGGCGGACATAGGCAATCGCCGCTTGTTTCAATCCCTACAACGTACGTTTCCGGCTGGAACTCTGCGGTCTTGGTTTACTTATCAACCCACTGCTCAACAGGATGCCAGTCCTCATACAAAATATGGTCAGCAACCTTACAAATATACATGTATCGCGATATCTTGCTGGGTTCCAGGTGAGTCTCTCGAAAAAACAAATTAGTTTGCAAGTGATGGCATTCCGCTTAATTTCGGTTTCAAGTAGAAGATAAGGTTGACGAGAACCAGGGGATTGCGCCTACCGGATTAGCCCCTTGAAGGTCGAAACCGGTCGTGGGCTGTCGATGAATTTGCAGCAAACTTATGAGTAGTGCGTTACAGATATGGTTGTGTATTTTTTTCTCCCTCTCGAAGGTACATGATATTTTTACGCTGGTATTAAACGGTTCCGAAATGGATGCTCTCCCGACCAGCTTTAACCGAGCACACCCCTCCAATCAGTTCACTTCTGAAACTGAGAGTGACAACGATTTCCACTTCCTGGATGTTAAGTTAGTCAGAGTTTAGAGAGCAAAACTCATTTGCTCTGCTGGTACACTGCACCCTGAACTACAGCACATTGCTAACGTACTCTGAGCCAATGGTTACCCGGAGAGACTTATAACCAAGAATATGTCCGATCGCCCTATCAAGTAGCCTGTCACGACCATTGGGAAGAATACAACATATTTGAGTTTACCGTGTAAATGTGGTCTGTTGGCGGACATAGGCAATCGCCGCTTGTTTCAATCCCTACAACGTACGTTTCCGGCTGGAACTCTGCGGTCTTGGTTTACTTATCAACCCACTGCTCAACAGGATGCCAGTCCTCATACAAAATATGGTCAGCAACCTTACAAATATACATGTATCGCGATATCTTGCTGGGTTCCAGGTGAGCCTCTCGAAAAAACAAATTAGTTTGCAAGTGATGGCATTCCGCTTAATTTCGGTTTCAAGTAGAAGATAAGGTTGACGAGAACCAGGGGATTGCGCCTACCGGATTAGCCCCTTGAAGGTCGAAACCGGTCGTGGGCTGTCGATGAATTTTCAGCAAACTTATGAGTAGTGCGTTACAGATATGGTTGTGTATTTTTTTCTCCCTCTGTTATTCAGTGAAGTATGTTGAGCGCATAACGTGGTAACTTTCTAGGGGTTTACGGGAGCGCCCTTCTTACCGGAGTAGAAGTACGGCCAAAAGCTCAAATGCGTCCGAAGCAATAGCACAGTAAAGTCGAAAGTGCGCCAAGAACAAATTGCGAAATGATGGCAGATTAGGGTGAATTTTGGTCTGAACATATATGCAAAATTTGGCGTAAAACGTTTTATTTCGCTTACAAAGGTTTTTCAGAAAAAAAACCATTATGCATCCAAGGCGCGGCATCATCATCATTATCATCATCGACAGCACGACATCAGTGTTCAACACCGATGCTTCACTGCCGTACAACCATGACTTATTTGAAAGCCCTATTGTAAAGAAAATAATATAGGTGGATGTGGGAGGGACTTAGTGCTAGCTTAACACAACCATTCCGAGGTGCCTACACCTCCAGACATTCACTCAGGCAATCTGGACAGAAACTGACTACAAGAACGCCACTGACATCGGTTGGCAGCCATATCTTGTAGTGTCTCCAACCAGGCACAGTGAGGATCACGCGGTCCCCATCCTG